TATGTATTTTTGTTCATTTGTCTGTCTGTTTGTTCCGGCTAATCTCTAAAACGACTGGACCGATTTTGACGGGACTTTCACCGGCAGATAGCCTATGCAATAAGGGGTAACTTAGGCATTAGGCCACTTTCTACGCGGACGAAGTCGCGGACACATATAATTATCTATAAAAAAACTCTCTTACGTTTTTATTTATGATAAACCGTTTTTCGCATTCATATTTTTTTTATTTATTTACAATGGGCTCACACTTGATCTCAATCTAGCCTAAGGACATAAATAAGATCTACGGAGGAACGAGCTTGCCCAGAAGGAACCTAGTCACTCATAATATATTTACTATATTTACCGTACAGCAAGGCGTGAACACCATTGCTTTTATTCATGTTTTGAAGTAGGTACATAAAATACTTATCAATGTCTTGTAAAAAAACAACAAAGCGTAATTAAAATTTTGCCTAAGGAAAATACCTACACACATCGCTTAGGAACAATGGGGATTTTTAATTATAAGGTGCAGTACAAAAGCGTACGATTGTCGTTTGCCTCAAAAGGGAAAAGCTCATTTTACGAACGCACCGTGCCGCAGCCAAAAATGTTTGCGAGATGGCCGTTTGAGGCGAGCACCCCGCGGGGGTGGGGGTGGGCCGGCATCATTAACATTGGCATCTAGCAATTAACATCTCCAGCTCATTCGCCTTTATTTTCCAAATTTCCGTTTGGCCACTACAGCACTTTTGTCTTACCAGATTAATCACTGGAAAACAGTATTTATGTTAAACAAAATCGAGTCGGTTTTTTAAACACTACTACCTACCCGCATATAAACCTCATACTTAGTTTTGTTCAATCACCCTCAGTTTTCGGTAAACATAAACTAAATTGATTACGCGAATTTTGCTTACGGACGTATGTTTCCGATAAATTAATATTGAATTTAAACCGTTTTTTTTTGGCATTGTCGTTTCTGTACATCGTAATAAGATGCCCTGAGTGTGTGTAAACCATCCTGATAACTTTTGTTACATTTGCGGTCAACTTACTATTAAAAGTCAACGTCGTAATTTGACACCATTAGTTAAAAACTGTTATTTTAATTATTTTGGCTTTCCGGTGCGAAATTTGGACAAAACCTGGACTCCTAGTGTTTGTTGTGCACAATGTGTTAGTTTGCAGTTCCAATGATATGGTCTGAACAGAAAGACCATGTATCAGATTGTTATTTCTGCCAAACTTCTATCAAAGATATTAATCAAGACACACCGTGAACTATCCGAATTTACAATCTGCTCAAAGATACACTTCTTACACTCTCATTTGGATTTTTTTCCTCAAAATTTGGGAGCCGTTAGTGATGAATACGGCGAGCGATTCCATATCAGGTTTTATCCAACATGGAAAAACGGTACCAAGGCAAGTAGAGTCCGAACATGTTGGCTGATTACTGTTGGACACTCAAAAGAGATGTACCTGACGCTAAATATTCCCGAAAATCCTGAATAAAAGTCAAATGTTAGTTGTTTTTCTTGATTAAATGCAATTTTCAACCATATTTACTTAAAAAAAAAAAGTGTATTGCAGTTGCAAGAAAACTGAGGGTGACTGAAACTTTTTAAAAATGCAGATTATTAACAGGCTAATTGTAGATATAAAATTTCCCATTCAAATTAATTTAACTTTCATTAAGGTCATTTTTGTCAATCAGTGTTATTTAGAGCCTGCAAACACATGTCAAGGTCGCTTTCTTTTAGTAATTTTTATGATAAAATTCCCGTATCGATTAGTCACCATAACGAATTTTGATGCAATTTCATATATATATATATATGTCTGTATTCAGTAGGTCTGAGTATAGATTATTGTCTATTTTTATACCCCTAAGTGATAATTCGACGCTAGAAAGCAAACACGTAGTAACCTGCAAAACCAAAATTGTTCTTCAGAGTAGTGAAACTTTTATTTTTATTGATAAATAATTCTTATAAACGTCCACGGTAACAAATAAGGTCCCTTAGTCGATTTATACGGAAATAAGTATTTCTTTTTGAAAAATATAAAAAAATTCCACTCTAAATATACATTTTGGTTTTGCAGGTTACTATGTGTTTGCTTTCCAGCGTCGACATACACCCCAAATTTATGACCTAACGTTTCCCGGGTCAGAAATGTAGACAATATCACATACGTTGCTTAGGTCCCAAATATAATAGCAACAGCACTTGCATTAGGGAAATCTGAAAAATTTACCCGAGAAAAAATTAGAAAAGTTCGTTTTCTACATTTACCCGACCGGGAATCGAACCCGGGTCCTCGGAAATGCGGACACAGTGAAAATGGCGTGCGAGCCCCTCGGCTACGGATAATAAAACTAACGATTAATGAATACAGACTATTATTTAATCGCTTTTAAAGTGCCTTCTCAACTCAAAAAAAAATACACAAGTAATTGTTTCCTTTACCGCAGCTTAATACTTTATAACAAACAAATTTCCATAGTAGATCCATTTCAACATACATTAACAAATTTTAAAAAGCACATACTAGATATTTAACCACAATAAGTTTATTAATATGTAATCTGATATTGTTCCATAACGGGAGCTTTTGTTACAAAAGGGCTTGCATACATTAGCATTAACTCGCTTTTATTGCAAAGGAATAAGGGTTACGCTGCGGGAGTTCTTTCGTCAGACAAACTTTACTGTTTACCTTTGCACGGCAGAGTTACAGACTCTACCAGTATATATGAAGTATAATATAAATTAGTTTATATAATATAAATAAAATTTGAAATGACTGTTTATGTCATAAATAAATAAAAAAAAAAAGATAAGGGCTATTCAAGTTTTATGTAACCCAATTTTTTACTGTTTTCTTTGACTCTTCTCTGGACCACAAATGCATTAGAATGTCGGCCAATAGATCGAGATGGCGAGAAATAGTGAGAAGGGTTACATCAGTCACCAATGATCAACGCTGCCTCATAATAATCTGTGCTCATAATGGTCACAGCTGCTCTGTCAAGAGTGGCATTTATATCATCAAATAGTATCATCATCAGCCCTTTTACGTCCCCACTGCAGGGGCTCAGGCCTTCCTTATGGATGGTTAAGGAGAATAGGCCATGACCCTCCACGCTGGCCCAATGCGGATTGGAGGGTATTAACGACTGCAAATGCAGCTGGAAACAACGGCTTAACGTGCCTTCCGAAGCACGGAGTAGCTCGAGATAAAAAATTTTTGGTCACCCATCCCGTGACCGACCTTTGCGAAAGTCGCTTAACGACTGCGATCGCGGGCCGAGGCGCTTATCCACTACGCCAGCGAGCTACTAGTAATGATTAATAGTATACCTATTACGAACTTCTGTTAAAATCACAAAATAAAAGGGCATTTCTATATGGAGTTTTTTATATTCATAAATCATCACAAAATTACTTACCGTAGGTACACACGACTGCAGGTTACCACAATATCAAATTTTCGATTCCGATTTTTAACTCTTCTCTCATTGCATTAAGGTTTAAAACAAAGTGTAATATTTTAACTGTTTTGTATAACCTGACAAACTGTTGATTTGACTTTAAAATTAAATACAAAAAATATATAGTTGAACAGTAAAAACCTCGTCCTTCTCGCTTTGGAAGTCTGTTAATGAATAAAAACGAAGCTGACATTTAGTGGCCTTCAACAAATACTGCCAATCGTAAAACCGGCTAAACGAAACCGTTGACAAAGACCAAGGAAACAAATAAAAAGATATGGCCGAAGAACGACCCTATTATTTAGCGCTTTCTCAGCTGGCTTTCTATACTGCTCCCTATTTGTCTATATTTTCCTTTGTGGAGATCATAATCTACCATACTTAATAATTTTAAAAATTTCGGCGACCCGGCGTGTTTCGTACCGCCTTATACCCGTTTAAAAAAAATCTTATATACAACCCGTGTCATTATATACAAATCGTGGAACACATAAAAAATAGAATCGTCCAATTCGGTGCAGTCGGAACTTGAATTCGGAAGTTTTGTGCGAACATACATTTCGGCGATTCATTTTTATTCATTGATATTTAATAACTCTATTTTTTTTATTTTTCGATAACTCATTACATTAGTTATTAATTATTTTTATATAGTGTAATAGCCAATTTTGATCTACATTACATGCATAACGTAGCTACCTATCTTACTTATTTGAATAAGGATTAAAAAAAATAGGTTCGTAAATAACCCACCATTTTACTGTTTTAAGTTACGTAAAAAATGGTTATTGTGGGTTATCCTTGGAATATATGCCACAGTGGACTTTTTTGTAGATCTATTAAAGAGATACAATTCCACCATACAATGTTTTGTTATAATAACTCAAATGTTTTTGGCAACGTTTTCGAGGAAAGCTTGCGAGCGGCTTTAATTTTTTTCGACATATAGAACTAAAATCGTTTAAATATCACTCAGTTTGTAAAAGACCTAAACTTACTATACACTAAAATCTTCCTCAAGTAGTTTTCTATCTATTGTTGAAAACCGTCCAGTACTTTTTGTGTCTATCGCGAACAGACAGACAGACAGAAGCAACGGGGGACTTTGTTTTATAATATGTAGTGACAGTGATTATTCGACCAGTATAATGTATTCAACTTATTCCTTTTATTATAAGTATTTAATAAATTTATGGCATAGAAAAATAGGTATATAAATATTTTGGTTTACTTTAAAATTACTGCTGTCAAAAGGCTTTATTTTTTAATTGGAAATTAAGTGCCCAAGTAAAGGAATTTACTCATGATAGTAATTTTTAAAAAATAAATAAAATTTTGTAAAAAAATGGATTAAGTAACCAAATCAGTAATAATGGTCCATAATTCTTATTTTTTAATTAAACATTTTTAACACAATTATTATATTTACAATACATACATAGATGCAAACAATCATATTCTAAATCTTATATTGACGTTTTTACAAAGCATGGGTTCCACTTTCAAAACCATTTCTTAATGATTCACAAATGAAATGCTTAAAAATCTCTAACCACAAAGTCAATACTCATTAATTTTGTTTGTCTTAAACAACTCAGCACTTGGTCAACTGTCAATTCAAAATCAGCTTTCCGAATGCCTTTGGTGCCTGTCAATCATTATGTATCTTCATTGGATCCGTGAATTGAGCAGTAAGTATATAAAAGAGAGCTGGTGCTGGTACTAATGATAGATACCACAATTCTCTGAAGCCAGTCAGTGATATTATCCCGTAGGCGTGTAACAGCCAATGGCCAACAAGTATAATAAGATTCCTTGTGTTTGTGACAGAAGAAATCAACAGAGCTGGAGCTGACTGATCTATCTTTATCGAGAAGTGTGATGCTGATGTCATCATTGATATTATTATTATTATATATGGGAATGAACAATCTGAAAACAAACATTTTATATATCAGAAGATACCCTGCATGAAAAATATTTTTCACCCACTACAAAAATGACCAAATTCACGAGTATAAGGTTTGGCACAAACGGGTCGCCGACCTTAGCCATTACCTTTATTAAGGCAACCAGCAACTGAACACACTTTTTCATATTAGTGTAGACGCGCTGCAAACGTGTAGCAGATGGCGGCCACTTGCTATAGCAGTGGCCATGACTCACTATTTATGATAGCTGCTGGCTGCACAAAACTCCGAACCCTGTGTTACAGTACTCCACCCCCATGCAGTTAACCATTAGACATTCTTTTATGTATCGCACATGTTACCATGGAAATAGACTCATATCAGTCGACCCGCGATATGGAATTGGTTTGCTTTACTGCAAACTGGTAATTTGCCATCGCATTACCATTTGCGAAATGTAGTCGAAATTTGAAAATATCTATAACACTATTTTGAACATCATTGTAGTTTAGTGTAATGCATGTTTTACTATAGGACCTGATAAAGTTGTATGTACACAATGTAGGCTGTGACGACATTATCTGCGTATTAACAATAGTGGAGCCCATTTACACAGACCCTAAGCACATTGATTTTAACCTAAGAATTAAAGACACCTAAGAATTTGATGCTGATGCTACATTTAGTGAATCTTAAACCGGCAAACTTGATAGTGCACCCTAGGCACCCAGGGCAATTATCCCCATTTGCCTCTCTCCTTTTCCCTAGATCTGGCCCTGGCTGCATTATAAGGAAATTTTTTATATTGCTATTTAAAATGGAGTTTGTACAGTAAACTTATTTATGGGCATATAAATAAATGGGAAATTAATATTCACAGTATTTTCATTGTAATATACTTACATATAAGACCAGCCGCAACTGTATGTATTAACACCAGAATGGGATAGAAATATAAAGCACAGTATATTGCTTTCTTGCCAGGACTAGAAGAATGCCAAGCTAACAGCCATGGTCTGACTGATAATGTCATTAATAAACTAAATGCATATATCAAAAGCACTATTGTGTATCTGAAAAAAAAAACAATGATTACTGTAATTTCTAAATTATCCAGAGTTCTCCAAGTAATCTATAACTCTTAAAAGCTTTATGACTCTTATTTGACAAAATGTAACACTTGTATGGAATGATTTCCTCTATTTGGCAGAATCTTAATGCTCCAAAACTTATTTGACATAGCCGACTTAGCATTTACTTTTTTGATGAATACTCATATAGGATAAAATTTAGTAAGCATATTAATAGAATATCCATTGTATGTCTGAATTGATAATGTAATTATATGAGAATGGCAAAATTACCTTTGGGAAAATTTAATTCCACACAATTTTGTTTAGCGTGACATGAAAGTGTGATCAAAAGCTATCTAGCAAACAACATGAGCAGGCCCAGGCTGTAGTGGGCTTAAGGAATACCAGCAGAGTTGGTTATATATACTGAAAACAACAATATAGCAAAAATATCAATTACTTACAAAGGATACACTGCTTCTTGTGTACAATACAATATCTCTTTATAATCTGGCTGAGGATTGTGGAGTAATGTATACCAATCTGATAGCGCTGTTGGGGAGCATACCTCCAGAGCAATAGAACCGGTTGGCGGCAAAACTAGAAGAGCTGCTAATGTACCAGATACCACTTCAATAAATGCACATATATGCTGAAGTATAACACCATCTTTTCTGTAAAAGTTTTAACATGCTTTAACTGATATTATTGATACTATTTTTAAAAATACAATGAATTGACAAACATACCCTTTACCTACTGCAACCATATCTATAAAAAACCAATGCAATACCATGGGAAGCAAAACCATGAAGCCCAAATATTGCCAATCATATAATGTCGGTTCATCAGCACAAGGCATACAATAACTGGAACTATTCGTACGAAAACCCCTAGGACATGCTCCGCAGTCACTCCACATCCCATCCTCAAGTTTTGTGCGGCCACAATATAAGCCAGGGCAAGTCCTAACCGCAGACATCCTCAAGATTTTTATGAGGAATTTACATAATACAAGAGTTTATTCACTGATATTTAATATATAAACAAACGTTAGAAGTTCATCAGATGAAACAAATTTTCGATTTCGTGAGATAATTTTTTCGCTTAGAATAGAAGAATAGAAGTTTTTCGACGAAACCAAAACAATCCCGTTCGTTTGACATTTGTCTGAAACTGACATTGACAAGTCACGCACGAACGTAAAATAAATTCTCTTTGGACAAGTCCACTGTATTAATTTTCTCTTTGGACAAGTCGATTAACCCCCGGTTTCAATAACCAAAAAACTATCCGTTTTTGCTACCATCCGTAGCATTTCCTACCGATGGTAGCAAAAAAGTGTTTCAATAACATACCGTTGGTAGGTAAAGCTACCGACGGTGTGCTACTAACGGATTGATCTGATACTGATAACCGTTCGTAGGCAAAATGTATAAAAATGGCGGAAACAGGTGTTTCAATAAAAAAATCTATCCGTCGGTAGAGCTGTCAAACTTACTATCCGTAGCTTATCTGTCAAATTTGCCTACCGGCCATTTTTCGTCGGTTATCGTAAAAATATTTGTAAATGACACCTATTCCCTTGTTAACTAATAGAAAAATAACAGTTTTTCATTAAAAAATTAATATTGTAGAAGAGCTTGATGTGTTTTGTGGTTCCAATTAGAAGAATTTAAATTGTAATCATGCCAATATTTGTACCTTTAAGGGCGCATACTACCAATTAATCATTGCTCCAGATGCTTTCTACAATATGTTTCTGTTGAAAAACTTGATGACCTCTATATAATTATGAAAAACCTTGTTCCGATGAAACTGAATTTGCCACCTACTTGTATCAAACTTATACACGTTACATTAGTTTATCCCCTTTATTTTTTATTGAACACTGATATTGATTTAATTCTTAATAAAACCAAATAAAATCAATTTGGATATAACTTATTTATTTTACAAATAAAAAACAATTCATTAAAACTACATAATTTTTACATTATTCCATTGCATTTATCTACGTTTGTTACGATTACGTTTATTACGAATTGATACAATCATTCCACTTGTGGCGACTGATACATAGCGACATCTATTACATCGCAGTAACATCGCCACAACAATCGATAGCGAGAAGACTAGCATAGTCACAGCCATCGATAGCAAGACGAACTGCAATAAGTTTCAACAGCAAGTAACGAGATGGCGCTGTACCTAAAGTGGTGACCCCAGCAGAACATCAGCAACCTTCAGCATCACAACGCAGCCATCACTCTTCATCAACAGCCTCTCACCCTCCATCATCAGCTTCTCATCCCTCATCAGCACAGCCACTTCAGCAGCAAGCCAGCCAACACCAAGGTCCATCACAGCAGCATCAACGGCGCTTCCTGGATTCTTGGCACCACATGACGGCATCATCCCGACCTGGTCCTCGCAGCCCACGACCGGACCTCAGTTCACACACAACTCACCGGCGTGGCAGCCCTGCACACCAGCAGCTTCGGTCCCGACGTCACAACCATGGCACTTGCAAGCTCTGAAGCACTGACTGCATACCACCTACTATCAACATGGATCGACCTTCAGTCTAGGGGGAAAGTACTGTGGCGACTGATACATAGCGACATCTATTACATCGCAGTAACATCGCCACAACAATCGATAGCGAGAAGACTAGCATAGTCACAGCCATCGATAGCAAGACGAACTGCAATAAGTTTCAACAGCAAGTAACGAGATGGCGCTGTACCAATACAAGCAGCATAAATTAATAACTACAAGACATTTAGAACAAAGAAACCTACATCGCACAGAATAAGTTTCATTACCAATTAACATAAATAGAACGTCCAACCTACATCGGTTGGACCGCGGTCCCCGGGCTAATAACACCAAGCTCGGAGGGAGACAATTATCCTTTAGTCTCCCTAGCCAGTTGTCTCCATCACCACACTAGGGGCCCCAACCTCCAACCAACGGTTCCTAAACACTTTTTCTAATAACCATTCATTTATAATTCTATGTCAATCGATCACAATTGTTCACTGTCAATTTCATTAATTTTATCTTGCAAATTCAATATGTATAATAATATATTATACAAATCACTTTATACAATTAAAATTTTATAATAAAGATGAACTCTATATAAAATTCCCGCTAAGCTTCTACGGAACATAAATCAACTTTACTTTTTGGCATAATTAAAGGCAAAGGGATATAGCACATACGACCTAGTCTAGAGTAACAATATTCACATTGAGGTTCACTTGGACGTTTAAAATGCTTTTTTTTGAAGCAAAATTTGAAATATATTAGAAAATGGTGAGGTACATCAAAGTAACACGTTCGCCTACTACATTGACAAAACACTCCTCATAACCATGCACCGTACCATTTCAATGAACTGTGTATTGCACACGTTTATTTATATTCCGAAATTTAATTCGAGATAAAAAAAAACTTATATAAACAAATGATGTTATTTCAGGAGTTGCAAACATTTTCCAAAAGGTTATAATTATAATTTTGTTTTTGCAAATAATATTACGAATATAAGATGTATAGTCTTATTTTCTCGACTTCTTTTTCTCTTTATCGACTTCAATAAAAGAGAAGGTTTCTCATTCAAGTGTTACTAATTTTGTATAACAAAGTGAGGATAAAAATATAAGATTTGTTGACATTAGCCTATAAGAATTTCATTACTTCTTCAAATTTAAGTACTTTGAATTGTAAATCAATATCGAATAAAATACTTGTACAGTAGATTGCAAATTCAGTTTCATCAGAACCAGGTTTTTCATAATTATATAGAGGTAAATTATTATGTTTTTCAAAAGAAACATATTGTAGAAACATCTGGACCAATAATTATTTGGTAGTAAGAGCCCTTAAAGGTACAAACATTGGCATGATTACAACTTAAATTCTTCTAATCTGAACCACAAAACACATTGAGCTCTTCTACAATATTATTTTTTTAATGAAAAACTGTTACTTTTCTTTTAATTAACAAGGGAAAACGTGTTATTTAAAAATATTTTACGATAAATCATACTAAATAAAAAAAGTGTAATTCAATGAGCCAAATGTTCCGAATTGCTGTTTCTTGCCTGCAGCATAAAATATTTTTATCTAAATAAATGGATTTTTAGTTCAAGTAAAAAAAAAACTAAAAACTTTTAAAGAGAAAAATCTAAACTTTTTGTTGTAATGGTAACTCTTTTGTTTACATCAGAATTCCATTTCAGACGATAATTTGTTTCACAATAACACCACTTTTAGGAACCTAATCATATAATAAGTCATTATAATTCCAAAACAAATTTCAAATTTAGGTTCGGTACGTAATCAGTTCACCTCTTTCCTATTGATGTCTCTGTCTTCCTTCTTACGATTTCGATTTTGTCCAAGAAATTATTAAATGTTAAAGACCAACATTTCAGTAGTATCATAATATTACCTAAGACAAGGCTGTATGGAAAGAACCCTTTTCCTCGAATTATATGATTACAATTTAAAAATGAGCTACCGACAACAGTTCGTAGTTGGTAGGCGCCTACCGATGATTGTGAAACGCAAAAACGAATGGTTGTCGGTAGCTCAAAAAACGGTCGGTAGCTGCTACCGATGGTTGTCGGTATATTATTGAAACCGGGGGTAAATCGATTGTGTGCATTATCAAATCATATTCAAAATAAATATGTAATATAGTTAGAGATGGGCAAAGTGTTGTTTGGCGGGCAGAATGGGAAAAAACACAAGATTTTTCGGAAAAAAATAATTTGCTTAATAAATGCCCTATCAGAGATCATAAATATTAAATTGATTAGAAAAAAGATATTCAATAAATAAAGCATTAGATCAATAACTTAAAAATGATATCAAATAATTTAAAAGAGAAACATAAAAACTTTTTGTTTTTATTATTTTCATCTCGTATATTATAAACATAAACTTGTAATTTACTACGTAACGTTTCAAAAACAGTTACGTTCTCGATTAACATTAATGCTTACACTACAAAAGAAAACGTTTTGTGTCAATATTGTGTAATTAAAATAGATACTATTTACCTGCACGCGTAGCGTGACGAACTCAATCGAGTAAGTTTTGTCTACACCCAAATGTTACCTTTCTCGGGCGCGCTCATACTACATCTCACTCTCGACACGAGAAAGTGACATTTGGGTGTATACAAAGCGTTTCTCGAGTTTGTCATGCTACACGTGCAGCATTCCCAACAAGAGACACTTTCTCAGGTCGAGAGTGAGATGTAGTATGAGCGTACCCGAGAAAAGTGACATTTGAGTGTAGGCAAAACGTTCTCGAGTTCGTCATGCTACGCATGTTTGAAAGTCTTATCAAATTCACGTTAAAGTTATTTGCCGCACACTTTAAAAATACTCACATCACGGTGTTTTTATTTATTAATGAATGAAAAAACTATTTAATTATCAATATTACTGTTGCTTCATTATAATAGGCTACATTATAGCTATATATGTATTATACAACATCACATACATTGCTCTGATTCTATGACGAGTGGAAAGATGTGATAAATAATCATAAAAAAAAATATTCTTTAAATATTTTATTTAATAGACAATCGATCAAACATAAGATCAAATTTACTACCGCGTTAATACAATTTTATTATAGTATTTTGTATTTGCTGTCTGAATCTGTGCTGCCAAAAAAACGAGCACATAACCGTCTCAGGATAAGGCGAAATATTAAGAGGGTCAAATAAATCATTAACAAATTTCCTAAGTAGATATAAAATAATAAATCTAGCATATAGTATTGGGTAAATCCGACACCGGCGGCAGGAGATCGCAAATGCTTCGCACCTTTATTCTTTAAAACGTATTCTGTCCACCATACCGCGCGTTCAGGACCAGATATTACAGGATCAACGACCAATTCCCTTAGCTGCATTATAGATTTTTTGTATCTGAAAAATAAAAATAATAATATAAACTATTGCGCAACTATCTCTGGAAAGTCAGATACCATCTACAATCGGCGAATTTTGACTAAATTGGCTTAAGTTTGAACACAGATGTTAAACAGTTTACAGATGTTAAAGCTAATAAACCAAAAACTGTGGTAGAATGTGGTAGTAGTGTGAAACAGTATCAGTCAAAATATCGCGTATCCATTATTTAAAGTTTTGACAAAATCATCAGTCTAAATATGATGTCCTACTTCTGGGATAAAAACACAAGAAATATAAGACCTATTTCGGATTTTTAGACGCCTGCAGCTGCTGGAACCAGTTCTTCTCTGGCTTCATGGAAAGAACTGTGTTCCTATACGATAATTGAAATCGATCAATATACTTAGTAACTTACTTTTCATTTGTTGCAACTTCAATTATAACAGATTTCATAATTTCCACGTCCAAGTTGTTAGGCTCCAACATCACGCCAGCGTTGAACTGAGTTATTTGTTTAATAAAATGATTTCTGGATCTTAATAGCGGAAGACCAACTATCGGTACTTGATAATAAACTGCTTCTTCCAAAGATCTCGATCCACCGCTAGTTAAGAAAGCTTTGACATTTGGATGCGCTAAAATTACAAAATAGTATGTACCTAATATTGATATATGGAATAAGTTTAAGAACCTAAGTATACCTAGTTACTTTACAAAAGGTTTGCATTTGACGTTAGTTGTTAAAAATTTTCGGCCAATACCAAAACAAGTATTTTAGGATGTGGATTTCATAACAACATCGAAAATCTATTCGTAAACCTATTTAGAAATCTAAAATATTTGTTATTTACCTAAAACTGCTTGCTGCGCAAACCAAGGCTTTGCCACTACATTTGGCGGCATATCGATTGCAGTGGCATTGCCGATCCTCCATAACACAGTGAAAGGCAATTTACGAAAAACGTCTGTAATAATTTGCAGAAGCGGTACCGCCAAATGCTCAGAGTCTTGTATCGCTCCTAAACTGAAGTATATAACGCCTTTTGTAGCAGAATCCAATGTTGTTTTTAAATCCTAGAAAGATCATCAATCAATATCTATCACCAACTTACTAAAACTTTTAAAATCCGAGACTGTTTTAATTTATTACAAAAAAGTTACGAAAATCATACCGGTGTCAATACACTTGCTTTGATATGCATACGATCTGCATAAACAACTCCTGGAACGGAGGGTCTTATTCCAGCTAAAATGGGATTGTTGGCAATCATCAAAAGATCTATGTCGTTTTCTACTTCCAAAAGGTCACGTTTGAGTCCCAAAATCTTTTTAGCGGCCATATCACACAAAGGCATATAATTGTAAAAATATTCATTTCTGGTTCTGATCAAACGATAGAACTCTACTACTTTTTGCCAAGTGGTCATGTTTTTTGCATTATAAAGTGTATTCACGTCCAAATAAAAAATAGGATAAATCGGATTTCCTTTCGTTTCATGCTGATGTATACGGCCTGTAGTTGTAGTAATACTTATATGAGGAGCAGCATACTTTTCAGCCACTGCATATAGCAGAGGAACATCTGCTTCAGTTATCACTAAATCAAATTTTATATTCGGATTTATCCATATAGCTAACATTTGCTTGGACCTCAACTGAGCGATCGCTATTTTTAACATTAGTTCATTTATCTCTCTTTGTCTTGAATAATGATCATCTGTATTTATTAGAAGGTCTTTATATTCGTTCCAAAAAGGTGCAGATTCTCCCCCGACGTCTATTTCTACTATTTTCTCTACATCTGGATATTGGAAATGGCCCGGATATGGCGTCATAAGCACCACAGAATGCCCTCTTTGTGTCAATAGAGATATGTACCCCCTGAATACAAGGTGATCAGCGAAAGACAAAGAAGAAAACACGGCTAATATGGACGCTGAATTAGTAGCTTTACACAGAAATAACACTAAAAACACGGTATAAAGTCTAACGAAACCCATGGTTTCCGGAATACTAGACAGACGTGACCCGTTATTGGTAAACGTTGACTGTAAAGGACCACTTTCGATGAATTTTCGTAACCATAATGATTAATACCAACTGTACAAATAATGAAATGCAAACAAAGCCATAACAAAACGTAGCCAAGCAATAAATTTTCATTCTGTCAAAGGCTTGCCTGACCTTATTGTAGAACAATCTTGTTTCGTAAATATTACTCAATCATTATGTTAAAACGCCTACTTTTATAAAAAAATTATAAAGTTAGGTACACTTGCTAACGTCGCTTTCTAACTTCAAATTTCTGATTTTTCTAATACATCTAAGGTATATCACAAAACTAAGATCAGAGTTTTCAAATCAGGGGAGAGTTTTTCATTGTAATATCAATGGCTATTGGAATTGAAGCTGTGAGTTTAATTGGGAGACTATCACCCTAGAATAAAAATTCTTGGCTCCGTCAACGAAAATATTGCAGCTGATTCATTAAATAATAATTCGTTTAAGCTTTAAATAATAAGCGTAAAAGCTGGATTGCCATTTGGGAAAATATAAAATGTTTTTTCTCCAGCGCAATGCTTCTCGGCAATGACAGTAATATTGCCATGGCAACCGCTATCGCACAAACAAAGTAAATAACAAACACTTAATCAAAATAATTGGAAAGGTTCAGACTGAGAGGGTATTTACTATTTCTTTCAAATGGACAATGGACAGTGATGTTTCTAACTATTCAGTGGTCGGGCGAATCGGGGAAGGCGCCCACGGGTTGGTTTTCAAGGCGAGACACTTGCAAACCGGTCGGGAGGTAGCGATGAAGAAAATCCTTATCAAGAACTTGGAAGACGGGATACCCGTGAATGTGATGAGAGAGATAAAAGCATTACAACTGCTTCGCTGTAAATATGTTAGTTCTAGAATCGTTATTGGTAAAATATTCTCCAATGCTCTCAATTCATTGGGCAATTTATTCTACCTCCGAATATAAGTCCTGTCAATTGCTGGAACCTTGTCTAATAACACGCGCGTGATGTCATATGAAAATAGAAAGTACCGATAGCACAAAAGGCGAAGGATAAATTTTATATTAATTAAGAAAGTACCGATAGCACAAAAGGCGAAGGATAAATTTTATATTAATTATTGAAATACATATTTATGAAAACTGCCCAAAAGGCGAAGGATAAATTTTATATTAATTATTGAAATACATATTTATGAAAACTGCCCAAACTATTGTTTCAATAATTTAGTAACTAAAATAAAAAATTAAAAGAAATATAATTCATTGCGTGGGACACCGCACTAATTTTGATAAAGGGCACCCTAACTAATTTTGATTCTGGAGCAGTCTAAGGAATTGTGCGTCATAAAATATTTCTCTCAATTTTAATTACAGCTTATTTGTTCACACAGCAGCACGTCAGATTAGCATAATAATGTTAAATTATCACAATTGATTTTCAACACTACCCTCTCAATGAGTTAAAGGGCTTAAAATCAAGTAAAGGTTTTTCTACAGATTTATATAGCCTCATATAATGTTGAAAGTACAAAAGCAATTGAAAGTTATTCATTTTCGGTATACACTCCCTCTAAACGATGCCGAATGATAAATTGTGAACAAAAAGAATGACAAAAAAACAAACGCATTTTTCCATTTTTTTATCATAGAGATCCATCAATCTCAAACATTATTGTTATTTGCGAAATTTTTACGTTAATTCTACTTTGATTATGTACGCAGATCATTAAACTCCACGACATGTTCCCACGGGGCATGAGCCTGGTCCTAGTATTGGAGTACATGTGTTCAGGTCTGTGGGAAATGCTACACCATAACCAGCAAGAGCTGACGCTGCCCAGGGTTAAGGCGTATGCCCAAATGCTTCTCAAAGGGACAAGATATATGCATGCGCACTATGTTATGCACAGGGTACACAGGTTTATTTCCTAATATTTATTTGTTTTATTTATATGAATTTATGGCCGTTTTCAATAAACTAAGGAGGCACCCAAATCTGTTGTTAAATATTTAGGAATCACCTAAGGTGAAAATGCACATCACTAGAAACCACCTAATGATATTAGTAACACGAGTTATGCGCTAGGTATTTGCGTATTATGACAGGTCACAAAAGATAAAAGAAAAAAATGTTTGTTTGGAATTAAAACTAATCTGTTTAGGCAAATCGTCAAGCATTTCCTATTAAAAAACAAGACATAGGTTACTGAAAACGGGTGTTAAAATTTTTCAACGTAAGTACTTTATTATACAATATATCTCCATATGAAATAAATTTCAATACATATCTCCATATGAAATAAAGTTGTAAATGATTTGTTTCTGTTTTAACTCTTCTTAAACTACGTCACGGATTTGATACGGATTTTATTAGGAAACTAGAAGGGTTATCGCCCATCCAAATGGGCCATTGAGCCAGAGGGCTAATTTCACATACACTATTACCATAAGTAAACATTTGATAGAATCTTTACCAGTTTATAAGTTGCTAGCTTTTGCCCGTGACTTCGCCCGCGTGGTCTAGTCTTAAGTCCAGAAATGAGAAAATTCCATAAAAACTTTTATCCACTAATATACCTCTTAGTAGACGAATTTAAAATATCGTCTTAGTAAGCACCTACGCCCTAAAAAGAACCCGCAAATTTCAAACTCCTTGCAGTTGTAGTAAAAAAGGTTCATACAAACTTTCATCATACACCATACACGTCTGTTTTAATACCAAGATAAGTCTAACACTATTTAAGACTAATATGAAATCACCAGAACCTCCTTATCAGGGAAAATATAGAAAATAATAATAAATTCAACATTCATCTGATAAAAATTGAATCTGCGACATTAACCATTTTTCCATTTTCAATGTGTTCAGGATGGCACTCGTTCGATTTTTTCGGGACAGTCCCGATTTCAATGATGTCCCGATTTTTGAAAACACTTGACAATCACTCCATACCCTTAGCTTTCCCCATACAGGTCCCGCCGCGCCCGGTATTCTGCATCCTATTAGTATTTTTTTACTTTTCCTATGACATGCTTTGAATTGAAGTCCGATTACTTCGGATGACCGTTCGAATGTCCCGAATTTTGTTTCTCAAAAAGTTGCAACCCTGAATGTGTTTATCAAGGCACTGCGAAACCAGAGTAAAATAGAGAATAGATCTGCTCCGCATCACAGTATATCTACGACGATCAGGCGAACCCGTTTTTATGAACAAATTAGGACTTTTTTTTAAATACACTTCAATTTAACTATTAGTCGTATGAGCCGTGACTGATCAATGTTTTTTTTTTAATGTTATTTTAATATGTTACAAATAAAGTATTTTCGAGTATCTACCTATCGCTTCTCATCTCGTATAAAGCAGACACGAACCGAAATTAACAGTGTAGGTAATAAGCTCTAATAGGTTTTAATGTGGTACACTTATTTTACAGGATTTGAAACCGGCCAACCTATTGATAAATCACGAAGGAATATTAAAAATAGCCGATCTTGGATTGGCGCGACTTTATTGGCCTGACGGCGGCAGACCATACTCACATCAAGTGGCGACAAGGTATTTCTGAAAATAGCAATAGTCCTATAATTGTCATTGGTTTGTTATACTGCAGTCATTTTAAGACATCTTCAGACGTTTCTTTTTCACAGACAATTTAGAATTTTAAAGGCCCTTAGCCACTAAACATCTCAGCTAAAGATTTAACAATCCGATATTACAGACATGGTTAAAAATCACTTTAGTTAAGTATGATTATGTAAACGGTTTCAGGTGGTACCGTGCGCCAGAACTGCTATACGGAGCAAGATACTACACCGAAAAGGTAGACCTTTGGGCAGTCGGTTGCATCATTGCTGAAATGATAACGAAGCAACCATTATTTTCGGTAAATATTCCTTTGCTTTATTAAAGTTTATAAAGATAAATGTGAAAAATCTAAATCATATGTTAAGGGTTTTAATTCCCTATAATTCGATTTTTTATTTTTTCGATTTCTTCTCCTAATTATAGTCAATAATTATAAGGATAATCGTAATGATTTTCGAGTAATTTTATAGTTTATAGACGCAATTAGTAATATTTTGTCTCTATCTAGGACAGCTTTTTCCCTTGATACCTAGCCTTATTTGAAAAAATCAAAGAGAGCTAGACTGCATATTAAAATATTTTAAACCCCTCGCAGGGTGAATCGGACATAGAACAGCTGGCAATTGTGCTGCAACATCTAGGCACTCCCACGCAGGAGTCGTGGCCTGGTCACGAGCAACTACCAGATTTCCATAAGATCACGTTCCCAGAGTCCACGCCCACGCCATGGAACGAATTACTACCTGGAGTGGAGCCTGACGCCATACACTTGGTCAAGTCCTTCATATGCTATAACGACAACAGGAGAATATCAGCGAAAGAGGTAATTTATCAAGAAAACAAATAATATTTCTTAGTGCAGAATTACGGTACACTCAATGAAGCAAGTAGCAAGCAACTTTTCCGAGAGCCAAACATAGGATTAAACTTGCTTCAAAAGGCACGTTATATCTTTGATCCCGTCTGTATCTAGTCGTTAACACCCATTATACCGCACAATATATATTTTTTTGCTTCAATTTAAACAAGAAATAGTTTAGACAATAGGCATTAAAGTTCGCTACGTCACAGTTTTGTAGAAAATGTACTAAAGCGTGACGTCATGCGACATTCGCAAAAATCGCAAAAAATACGTGTTCAATATTATCCAACAATCTACATCCTTATTATCACAATCGGTGACGAGCGCTAATTTCAAGGAAAGAAGACTTGAAGTCAATCAAAGATTGGTAATACAGTGAAGTGCTGATTATATGATTATACAGTCGCGAAATACAATTATTATTGTAATAATTTTACATTTTCAGTGTAATTTTTATGTTTATATGCTGACCATATCAAAACATTCAAACTTTGCTATTACCTTTATAAGGTAATAATTAAATGAAACAACCTTTAAACGGTTTCATCACATTTGTATTAAGTTTTAGACGTCCTAAGTTTCTTACCTTAGTCTTATGTGAACACGGAACCTCTAAAGGGTCCGAAATATCTAAAACTAAATACAATCGCAATGAAACCATATAAAAGTTGTTTCATTTATGGATAATGCACGTGAAAATATAAGAAATCAATAAGCAATAATTAAATTATATCAATAAGGATGTAATCGCATATTAATGAATTATTTTATTTGCAGGCGTTAAGACATCCTTGGTTTCAAAACAGACCTTCGCCGGCCAGCTTAGATGAGATGCCAAAGCCAGTAGCTACAAAATCTAAATGAAATAAATAAAAAACATAGCTATCATAAAATGCATTTTATTCATTTAAAATTACTTAAATATAATTAATTACATATAATTAATCAGTAATTACCAGTGGTCGGAATTAGGTAGAGCTATTCATGTACTTACACTGATTTCATACAGCGAAATAATAAAGTGGATATGACTCAAATCCCGAGATTAATTTTTAAGAGCAGAAAAAATCCCCTGGTTTTTTAAATAAAAAGTTATTTACTTTTACACAATTTAAACTTCTGCACGCACGACGTTGCCAAACTTACATCAATGAAAGAAAGAAATAAAGAAAGAAGAAATAAAGAAATCCCGGGAAGGTCCACATTAATATCAACATTTCGATGCAAGTACATAAATAACTCTACCTAATTCCGACCTCTGGTAATTACAGTAAGGACTTGTACTCTTTCATTTTATGTACATTTTGAGCCAAACAAGGACGAAAGTCTGAATAACGTTACATACATTTAAAAAAATAATAATGTTCCAATAGTATAATTTTTTATTATACCCCTGAAACATCATTGATATTTTACATAGAAAACGGTTAATTTAAACATTAAGCGAAATTTAATATTTTTCTATAGCTCTATCTTTTTTTAACGTATAGAAACATAGTCTATTAGAGAAAGAGGGCTTTATAGAATCTATGATCTGGGGACTTTTGGAACTCTTTATGATGCTTATAGAGTTTCGCAAAAGCGACATACCGTCGCACACCCACTATCTTTTTCGCTCCAGCAAAAACCAGTTTTGAACGATAGAGAAGGAAAGCACGACGGAAAAAGGCGATACTGTGCTGCCAAATGTAGTCCGATACTTATATGAATGGTTTTATGTTATTGGCCCTAAATAGTTTTCTCGAGCTCTCTTGTTCTAATATACTTCGTGTCAAAGCGATCAAAGAGGATAGAGTCACAGAAAAATACTGATGAATATTATTAAAACCTAAATAGATAAAATGAACCAGATCGAACGATATCCAGGCATCACTAGGCATAAAAATATAATACAAGACTCAAACAATTGACCCTAAAAGGAAATAACTATACATTAATATAGATCGAATGGTACAGTCAAAAGAAATGATTTAGTAAGTTCATTCAAATTTTATAATCCCTCATATGATTGATATGCTTAAATCTTTTTTTTGTTATTGAACATTAAATCTTTTTATAATAGTAATCATCAATTACCGTTGGCGATGACTGTACCAATTCTGCCTTTTCACTAAAAAGTAATACAATTTTACAAACGTAACACTTTCTACACAATAACCTTTTTCACATAATTTATCTATCTAACCGCACATTTTTGGAATAGCAAGCAACACTGGACTTACTACATCATAAAATATGATCTATTTTCGTAGTGACCGAAACCACAATAATAATTATAAGAGATCATATGGCAAACACCCTAACCCAAAATGTAATAGATTTTAAATGAATTAGTAAAATAATGCACACACAATGACAGGATAAATTAGCGCGCCTTACCCATATCTTAGACTGAAAAAATAGTCTGTGGTATTTTACACCTTATGGTTTAATTACAAATTTCATTCGTACTTTCTATCATCATTTCAATTGCTAGGGTGGTTTATATCTTATATAATAAGGAATTTGATTAGCGCCCCCTCCACTCCCCCCCTCTGGCCCAGAAGTACGCCCACATTTATTGTGTTTTACTATACAAACATATCTCTGGGTAGTACTAATATCGAAAGCTATAAATTCCAAGACGTTTTTAATATGAGGTAGGTAAGTAAAACACCTATTAGGTATTGTTAACGAAGAAATACCTAACATAGGTATTAATTTCGTTAATCTGTCTTTTACAGTTTATGAAAAATGAGGCTTTTATTCATATTAATTCTATCACGTCCCTACGAGTAGGAACTTAGAATCCTTGATTATTCGACAATTCAAGTTCTGAACGCTGCTATGGTAAAAAAAAAAAATAAAAAAACGAAGAGTTTGACTTTGGGCAATCTAATCTTAAATATTACAATAACAAGACATACAATTATTTATCACTAATACGTTTTCTGCTTATATAATTTTTCTAATAACGGAGAAAACTATCGCATATGGAGGTGCATCCAAGGAACAAGTCTTCCCCTTTTAAGCTACATCAATGATATTTCTTTACAGTTAAAGAGATAATAATACAACTAGTTATTTAGGAAATTAATTAGATTTCTAGCACAGCCATTGTTACTCCTAGTAGAACTTAAGTAACATTGGACTACATTATAACTATAATTTCTATATATATATTAATATATAACAATGAAAAATATTAAAACAGAGATGAATACATGGGAAAATAAACTTACGGATATATATTTGAAAAAACATTAGGAAAATTAAGAACGGTTTTAGGAAAATTTAATCTTATACGCTTTTTTAGATAGAAGATGGAAGTAACACGATAAATATCGTGTTAAACTTCAAAACACGATAAATATCGGCCAATGAGAATGATTCAATTATCGCGCCATAGAGTATACACTAATATCCACTCGTCTGACTCCTAGTGCATTGTTTTTACACCTTATCACTATAGAAACAAGACTCACTATAAATTAAAATCGTACGTACGGTCATCGTCGGAATTGATAGATCTGTTCTGCGCAAATGAAAATTCACCGTGTTTAGTTGGAAGTTACTTTAAATGCTTTAAAGAAAAAAACCGTTTAGTTAAATAATGAAAGTGTTTGTATGATTTTTTGTAAATCTTCGATGTATTTTTTTAATATAAGCTTAACTGCTTTGAATAAAGAAACAGTTTGTTTTAGGAATAGCTTTTGTTTTATTTCGAGTTTATATTAAATAATCATTGGAAAGAGTTCCATTGACAAGAACCTAACATTATAACTAAAAAAAAAATATTTACATAAATCTGATATAACATAATAGGAAGTCCATGTCATCAGAATCATTGAGCCCATATTATAAATTTTAGAATGCATTGAAAACGGTTTTTGTGCATTTATTATACATTATGCTACATCTACACGAATACCATATGGTAAAATTACGTCTAAAAATCAAATTAATGTGCGTTCAAAATAACTTTTAGGAAGAGTTGATAAAGTTTCTAACAATCTATTTACGAAAAAGTTATATGCTAATTCAACGGAGGATTTCTAGTCTGTTACAAACATCAGCACAATATTTAACTTTGTTTTGTTTTTAAAATATTATAATGATTGTGAATTGAAAATGCTATTGTATTACATAAGTAGACGTTTGACCGAGTCTTTACCAGTTTATAAGCTACTAGCTTTTGCCCACGACTTCACGTGCGTGGTCTAGTTTTAAGTCCAGAAACGAGAAAATTTCATAAAAACTTTTATCCCCTCATTTACCCCCTTAGAGATCGAATTTCGTAAAATCCCGTCTTAGTAAGCACCTACTTCAATGGTGCTCATTAGCACCTACGTCCTAAAAGTCCACCAACTTTCTACGCTCAGTATTTTCGGCTGTACGTTGTCTGTCAGTCAGTCAAAAACGCAAGAGTTTTATATATATAGATTAGTGTAATTTATAATTGGCTACTTGACTGTTTTCAGACAAGTATTTTAAATCTTTCATATTATCATACTGCCACCACCATTATAAGATTTATTTTTCTCCAAAAAGTGTTATTGGATAAAGAGAGAATATATTTTAATTAATTCATTCATTCATTTCAATAGTCCCGCGAAAACAAATAGCCACATGACATTTCGAGCCGTGACGTCACATTTCAGTAAACATGAATACTCGTTGCACTCGCAACAAAGATGTCAAACATTTAGTGTATTGAAATGTGGCGTCACACGATGATTTATTAAAATTTATTTAAATAAAAAAAAATACTACATAGTTACGGTTTAAATATAAGTTACAATTCCATTATAATAACTGTCAAGTAGCCAATTGCTCAAAAATCAAACATCATATTAAAGACTTCACTCGTTCCTGCCTTAGCTATTAAAAGATATTATGGATAACACGAAACAACTATTCTGCTTTTACAACCCGTCTAAGAAACTAAATAAATGAAGAATTAGTGCGAAATTTTATTTACAGATGATGATGCAAATTTTAGGAATATCTTTTGATTTCTAATGATGACTAAAGTAGATTTATTATATTGTTAGATTTTTCTGTCCGTAAATCGTTGTGAATTAAGTAAGGACAATTTTATTATTTACCTTTATAATTCTATAAGCATTTACTACATAATTATAAATAAATAAAGTATTATTATGGTCTAGTTACGTATCCATCCGGCGGTGTGCAGGTACTGTCGTACGGCTATATCCAAGTCAGCATCTGGAGCTGGAGGACGCCTCAATAATACTCCCTTCATAGTTACATACTGCGCCGGTGGGAGGCTCAACGCTGAGCAAAGCTACGACAATAATAACGACAGACTATTAACTTTTTTTCCATACCATTGTGTGGAAACATCTCTCGCTATCTGACTACGAGCAGAATGCATCCCGAAGTTTAAATTATATAAATAGTGTGTTCTTGAATTATCATATTATGGCGTGCCTTTGTTACATTATTTTAGATTGTTTATGATTTCATGGAAGAATTTTATGTTAGATTTCATTGTGTTTTCTTTATTTATCATATTGTTTAAGTCATAGGGTTTTTAACTATTAAACTCTGTATTGTACATACAGACGCACATTGGTCAGTCGTGTTAGAGGCTCTAGAGGATCCCCTTACATGTATAGCCCGTTGAGTTCCGTGGACCACACATTTGGAAAAACTAGTTTATTCATCATTATCATCATCAGCCCTTTTACGTCCCCACTGCGGGAGCTCAGGCCTTTCTTATAGATGGTTAAGGAGGATGGGCCAAGACCCTCCACGCTGGCCCAATGCCGATTGGAGGTTATTAACTACTGCAAATTCAGCCAGGACCAACTAGTACTAGTTTATTATTACTAACCTATAATTGATCAGACTATGTTTATATTATATTAATGATAGTAAGCTAGCTAACTAATATTTCTATCTTATTATGACTACTTAGACTTCCTGTCCTCGAAAAAAGTTAGTTGAAATGTAAGCGCATTACTTTAGAACAAATAGACTAAATTAGAAGATTTGTATAAAAAATAAGTGTCCGAAAATTCCATGGAGACATAAAATTTATTTTCCAATACTTTACAAAGTTCAGTATAGTAATAAATTACTTAATTTCTTTAGTGTACTTATTAATGAAAAAAGTGCATTTACAACTGGTAGTAAATGAACTTGTAAGGAAACGTCATGCTCTGGATGACACTAGGCCCTGTTGCTATGGACAAGTTTCTCCCCCGCACACTTCACCTCCTTTAATATATATTTTCATTTTCTGTGTAGGGTTTAGTTTCGTAAATTATGCCCGTTTTCACTAAACTTGGGAGTCGCCTAAATCTGACATTTAAATATTTGGGCATTGTCAAATGTAAAAATGCGTTTCACCAATGACAAGGAGTCACACACCTTTTTATTATAAAAATTATAAAATAATAATAAGTCACATTAATAAATCAGCTTTAAGTCTAATGTAATTAAACTTAAACATGTTACGCAGTGATTCCCTAAGTGGTCCCCTGGGGTCCACGAGGGATTCAACGGGGGTCTACGTTGTCGTGAAATAAAAATAGTTCGCCAATTTCCATCGTTAGATCTTCACATTTTGGACGAATTTTAGGAATATGGTAAAAATGTAGCAGCAGGGGGGTCCACCGAAACCAGTAAATTTATTAAAATGGTCTACGAGAATAAATCGTTTGGGAACCTCTGTGTTAAGATCGTTTGTAGCTATTGCGACATAAACAAAGTGATTATTATTATAAATAAACAAACAAATCACCTGTATCTCGTTATTGGTTAGCAGATGCCTCGAGCATGCGCCGCTGCATGAGCTCTTTCTGGAGCAACCACAAGCGGTGCTTCCGTCCCGTGTGCACTTTGGGCTGGTTGAACTTGAGCCGTCTTCTCCGTCTCTGTACAAACAAAATACACATTCAACTATAATGGACGACGAGAAAACCAAAAACCCACGCTTAAAAACGAGTGACTTAGATAGAACATTGTTTAATGTACACACAAAACAAAATTAGCACTATATTAACACTTATATAGCGAAAACAGGAGATGTACAATTGGCGCCTTCATCACTAATAGTGATCTCTCCCAGGCAAACTTGGAATGGTATTAAATATAAAAGGCCTATTATCATATAAACTATAATACATATATAAACATATACTATCAATATAAATACTTTCATGGACAAGTAGTGCTCTCTGACATGTTTCCTAAATCAATTAATAGAATTAGAGCGCCTTAACCCATTTATACCCCTTCATTCAAAAATAATACCCCTCTATTATCAACATCATTACCAGCCTTTTTTAACTCCCCACTACAGGAGCTCAGGGTTGCGACCGCCTAACTCATGAACATAGCCGTAGTCGTAGCTATAACCTACGCTTTATAGGTTTTACACATGAATCTGTTGATATTGTTTTAAAATTAATCATTTTTTTATTATTTACATATTTAATCAATGCTTTTAGTTGTTTTTGTTTGCTGAATTATTCAAAATCAAACAATCAAAATCAAAATGTCGAATTGATACAAACAATTTTCAATTTTCTTTAAATTTTCTTTTCGAAATATAATAATATTTCGAAAAGAAAAACAAACCAAAATTTTTGATAAAATATATAAATTAAAAAAAAAACAATTAATTTTAATTAGTATATAAACAGATTCATAAGAAATATCGATAAAACGTAGGTTATAGCTACGACTACGGCTACGTCCATGAGTTAGGCGGTCGCGCCCCAGATCTTCCTTATGGATCAAAATCAAAACATTTATTTGCTTAAATATTATGTCAGTACAGTTCTTACATCGATTGCATGCTCAACAATATTTTTGCTTTGTATAGTAGGCGCGCAAATATTATAATTCGACAGTCATATTATTTATACAAAAATATAAAAAAATCATATAATTTAAATTATATTACAAATGTCCGTTATATTATACGCAGTCAGTCAGTCCAGATACAAAATAAATTCTATAATGTCATATACATACAAAATCTTGTCAATATAAATTAAAATTCCAAAATGGAATTTGAAAATCCAGATGGTAAAGGAGAATGGACCATGACTCTGGCTCAATGCGGATTGGAGGGTAGTAACGAATGCAATATGCAGTCAGGGCCAACGGCTTAGCGTGCCTTCCAAAGCACGGAGTAGCTGGAGATAATATTTTTGGTCACCCATCCTGTAACCGACCCTTATGAAAATTGCTTGACACTTATGAATTTTAGTATGTTTGAGTTAATTGGTCTTCTATTCTCGCTAAAACCATGTCAAGTTTCACCAGTAACTAACTAAATTACGATTCTTAAAAAAGAAAAAGCTTACAACTAAAAAAAGTTTTTAAGTCTAGAGGTCCCGAGAATTGCCGTGACTTTGAGTGTCAACTGTATCCGGTTCCGGGACTTTGGGGTATTGTCAGGTATTTACAAACCCTAATTCTTATAATAGAGCATTTTCCGAGTGAAACATAGAAGTTAATGAACTTCTTCGAAACCGAATAAAGGAATGGTAGTGAGCATATATGGATAAAGACTTAAAAAAAAAGGTTATAAATTTTACCCGTACATGTGTAATATAGTTAGAATTGCACAAAAAGGCCTACCTTCTTCTTAACTGCTGCGTGCTGTTCTGCGTTATTTCTTTTGTCTGATTGGTGTCCAGGCACCCACTGCTGCCCTGGCGAAATAATCGTTATACGAGATCAAAGCCAAAACCACAAGACATCTAATGACACATTATAACACCCACAGTCAAACCACTACACTAAGTCACTATTTGTTTTCATCACAAAACATAAAAAATTAATATATTAATTAATACAAACATAAAATTATTTAAATCAACGCCATCTATTGACAATCAAAATGAATGTTACCGTTGAGTTCTAAGATACAAGATCTTGTATGTACCGCCAAAGATATATGAATAAACTGGTACACGGTAGTTAATTTCAGTCATTCCCAGATTAACATAATTTATAAAAATATTCAAATATACAACATTGCACCTACGCTATGACGTATCTGATTTGCAGTCGCTTTTTTAAATGAATTATTTCGTATTTCAAATATAATTTACCGTAACCAAACGATAAACTAATTAGAACTTCACTTCACTTGTTTACCACCTCAGAGTACGTGAGGCTGGTGGATTTTCTAAGTATTTTTCGTTGAGAACAATACATAAGATATTCTTGTATAGTTGGCCTTAAAGTCAAAAAGTCTAACGAAGAGGTTGCCAATAATAAGATTTGTCTCGCAACACTGTCACAACGAATATAAATAAACTATCTCGTAAATCCTGTTAATTATTGAGATATTTCTACTGGTGTTAAGTTCTAAGTGAATATATTATATGAAGACAATTCCACCACTTCTAATAATCCGCCATGCAACAGAAATATCACGCGAAGCGTAAGCATGAACACGTGTTATGCCATGCACCAAGAAAATGATAAACCAATTTTAAATTTAGGTTCGAAATAAAAAATTAAATTAAAAAGTTAAGGATCGGAGTAGGTAGATTGAGTTGAGGTCATTGATCTGACGAACACATTAATATGGACATTCCTTCATAATTAATTAATTATAATGTTTTTTTTTGTGGGACTTAGGAAGAAAACGTGAAAGAAAAATTAAATAAAAGCTTCAAAAAAAATTTCTATTTTCAAAACAAAATGTGATCCAATAGCAATAGGTTAAAATGGTAGTAGGGTAAGTAAACTTTATTAGTTCAGCTACCTTGCTTTTAAATTGAGTAGCAATAACACTCTTAAATAAATAAATTGGGTAACAACCGGTAATACTTTCAAGAAACATGTATTATCCATGGTATCTTATTATGGGCGTTTATGATAGGCGTACCAAAAGTCAATCTACACGCTCCGATCACTTTTAATTAGTTATGAATAATGTTTTGTGTATGTTACAAAAACATTGTCTTTAATTCGATAAGTAACAAAATACTCTTTAATCTGTAACGAATCAGCGGGTTTTTTGCCGCAGAAAAATCAATTAAGTCAGTTTCGTCTCACTGAAGATAATGTACTAAGCATGTTTACGTAAAATAACAGAATACATAAAAAAAAAGATAAAACAAAAAGGGTAAATGAATGATGTTTGCTGTGTGTAACGCCAGTAAGTTATCTATCAATCAATTAGCATTAATTCTCATTTATATACAGGAAAAAATTGTAATCAGTGTAGAATTTTTTCCTATGGTTTGATATCATTAAGATGACTTTTTAAATTCATATTAACTTACCAGTAGTGTACAAACTGTAGGTATATAATATACCTTTTTTAATATCAATATACCGTATCGGCCTGCACGTACAATATCATAAGTAGCAATGTGTTTATAGACATCTTTTTAAATTTTTATCTGTTGTTATGTTACAGAGTCAAAAAAGGAAAAAAAGAATGCGAACGATTCACCATAAAAAAAAATATAAAATTTTGTGTACTGACTACAAATGTTGCCTGTATCAATAGAACAAATGTTATATTATTATTGGCGTTACACACAGCAACGGCGAGCTAAAAGCGCAAAGTACCACGAATCGGGGTCTCACGTCGAGATGATGCGGCTGGGCGTTAGGGTGCTTCCTATGAGCCGCGTGCTGCTCATAATGTGCACACTCTTCCAGCCGCGTAACACCGGCCAAACGGTACCGGTGCAACTCAGCCAGGCGTACCCTTAGTTCGCGTTCACGCCACAGGCCGGCGACCACGGCCGCCTGTTCTGATCTACCGTAGAACTGTGCCGTCCACCGGAGACGCTCAGTGAATTCTCTACGGATGATTGACGGATATAAGGTGATGATACCTATTTTAATGTCGACAGCATGTCAGGTTGTACGAATTTTGTTAAATTGAATCAATTGGAGAAATTTGATTTGTTTGGAATTGTCGGTGAACTTGAACTTGACGTGCAGCCGTGTGTATATTACACAAACAATAAAAATATAATTTACTTGTTTTGATTGATTAAAAATTTGTGACTAAAATTGTAAAACACTATCTTCAAAGGAAACATTCTTAATTATAAAATTGATAGAGAGACATTTTTCAAAGTAGACTAAAGGTCAGGTGCACAAACGCCCATTAAGGTTTAATGAAGCCTTTAAGCTCTAATAAGTGTCAAATTTGTATCGGTAATGTTGCTTTCAACTAATGTCGATTTTATGGACGTTTGTAAAACTAATTGTATGAAGCATAATGATATCATAATTATTATATATATATATAAATATGTTAATTAAATACGGTTATTTTTTAAGTACATACGGCCGCACGACACACTACACACCACCACCATAAGCAGACCTCTGTTAGTGGGGAAGTTCTATAGGTAGCGCAGTTGGTTCGAAGTCCACAATGTATAATTTGACATGCAGCCGTATGTACATCTAAACAATATATCATATCTGTGCAGTTACATTTTAAAAAGTTCATAACCTGAAATCGTCTCTAAAAACACATTAATATTGGACACACATATTAGAGAGCAAGCCGGGTGTGTAGGCAACTTTAATTTTTCCTGAGTTTTCTGAGCAAAACAGAAGATTACGTTAATTCATAATTCGCAATGCAAACTTTAAACAAATTAAGTCAAACTTTGGTACACAATCAACAATTATTTGATAAATATTTTCATTTTTTTTACTTAATTTTTTAACTACACATATTAAATAAGTACTTAAAAAATTTATGTTATACAATTAATTATTGAAGCATCAGCATTAATGCAAAAATTCTTAATTATTTAAACTTATTATTAACATTTTTTACAATACTTACTTTTTCTCTTTTGCAAGTTTTCCTAGTGTTCTCTGTTTGTTTCTTTGGTTATTGAAGAACACTGACACCAGTTGGAAGTCTCTTACAAGCCTTTTTCTTCTAGTCCTTTCTCGCAATCGACGCACATATATGTCGACTTGAGACAGCTTTAGTGCTGTAAAAAACATTAAACACATGTTAAAATTGCAAATTGTATAGAGAAGAATCTTAATAAATATTAAAACAAAAATACTGTACACATGTCCTTTATAATGTAACCAAACTTTTTTTAATATATGTTCCTGTTATATAAGAAAATGTTATATATTTCAATATTATTTATTCAATTAATCACAATAAACTTGATAATAAATACACTATAAAAAGTTTTAATATCAAAATATCAGTTAGCTATAATATAGTTAATCAGCTCATGGTTTAAAAGACATGAATTTATTATCAATCATAGAAAAATTTCACCAAAATCAATATCTCGCAATTCACTTTGGGATGGCCCTGACATTAACAACAAATCATCTAACTGATGTTGATACTAATGCTGCTAATACTCACCAACATCTAATTCATCATCTTCAGAACTCAGGGATAATGTAGACACTAACTGTTCTGCTTCATGGTCATGTTCCTGCACACATTACGAAATTCATTGATCTATCAACTTTTATTATTAAATACAAAAGTAACTATACCTATCTGTTATGGTTTCCTAAAATTTTTATTGAAAATGATCTACAATTGTTGGGTGTAATTGTAAATCATTTTTTTATTAAACTACTATTTGAATTTCGATTCTATATATTTGAGATTCTGGCAAAAAAATAATAATGGCATGTCAATTTAAAAAAATATGTGAAATAAGTTCAGCAGAAGATATATAGATTTTGCATTGAAATCAGCTATTTTCCTGCAATTTTGCTTGCATTAAATACAGCCAATATTACTCACCCAAAAGAGACACAAATAAAAAATCTTGCTATTTTGCTGACATATTACAAAAAAAAATACCTTGTTCTAATGCTGCAAATTCTAACTCAAAAGAATGTTTTATTTCAATTTAAAAACATAGCATTACCCTTTCAAAATCATCTCTATTTGGCATATAACTAAGCTGAGCAGCTTCTTCTGAAGTAACTGCAAGATGTGGAAGTCTAGACACCGCATTCGGACCTAACGGCCCGTCATCTTTATCCGCGCAATGCAATGATGGGCGTGAAGTACTTTCTACACTGCCCCATGTTGCTCGGCCAATGCTACCTTCTAAATACCTTGTAATATACTCATCCTTTGCCTCTGAAATTAAATAATTCATTATGTTAAAAAAAAATGTCATTACAAAATCTCACTTCAGTGTTATTAGAATCACTAATCTTATTGCATGTTTAGTACTGCCACTAATTTTTGATGTTAAATAACAACTCAAAAACTTATAATTGAGTTGACAAACAATAACATTTACATTTATTACCTTCAGGAGTTCGTGTTTCTATGTGTTTTGCTATATCTTCCCAATTACCAAAGCCAAACTGCTCAATAGCATCTAATAACCGCACTTCTTCGTTAGCTGACCAGTTGCTGCGTCCCAGAAATATACCAAATGCTCCAGAGTCCTAAATCAATGGATAATGAAATGTAGATATTTTAAATTATTGTTGCGATTTTGCAGACATAACATTATTTTATAGTTACCATGTATTGATAAGAGTGATCATTTTTGTGTGATCCAATTTCGGCACCTAATGAAAAACACTGAAAAAAAACCATCATCAATATACATATTTGAATTTTTGAACTATTTTATCATTCAAATTTTGCGCCAATAGTACCAATAAACAAAAATGGCATCGATGCCACTTTACCTGCAAACAAATATCAAAATCAGTACACTCTGCACACCTCACGCAGATACCATTTATTTCCTCTTGGCAATAAGTACAATTATATTTAGCATATAAATCTGAAAACGACATGATTACGGAAACTTTTCAATATAAAAAAAAATCCGATCGTTGGCAACCGTCGAAGTATTACTCACCGGCCATCTTTGTCTATCATAGACAATATAGTACAAAGAGTAAAGTCATAGCCACAGGTCAATAAGAGAACTAGTGCACTTATTGAAAATGTTTCCTGCTACAACATATCATAAACAAAATAATCATCATCATCATCATCATTAGCCGGAAGACGTCCACTGCTGAACATAGGCCTCCCCCTTTGAATGCCACGACGGACGACATTGCGCCAGCTGCATCCAGCGGCCGCCCGCGACTCGGACGATGTCGCCCGTCCATCGGGGGTCGAAACAAATAATATCAGAAAGAAAATACTTACAATTGTCATTATAAGAAACAACATTTGATATCTCGCAATCTTAGTTTCAAAGTAATCTTGTAATGGAGTAAATGTTTTATATATTAAAATATCACATCACTTGACGTTAGTAAATTTCTTGGTCAATATTGGACATGAGTTTTTGCAAGTAAGTCTAGAAATAGTTTTGGATGCGCAATAAGCAAGTATTTAAAAAATCACCTCACTAGATGGTGACTCTAACAAAATTTCTCACTATGTAACGTTAGTATAATGGGAAACAAATTATTATGAAGCGAATCGATAATAAAGATAGCACATATTAAAAATAAAAGCGTTCTTCACAGCGCAAAACATTATTAAAGTATTATTATTATGCAGATTATAAAAAAACATAAATTTTTATTTACTACGCAACGTTCCAAAAAACAGTTAAGTTCTCTATATTTTTTTCTTAAAAAGAGAATCATGGTGACATATCATTTTATAATTGATAATAAAAATATAATCGGTAATATTTTATCGAATTTGTTGTTAGCGTCAATATTTATGATCCGATGACATGTGTCAAAAGGACCTCTTTTTTTAAGGCTATAGAATTTCCTTTTTAGAATAAAATGTTAAAATGCCGCATATACGTAATGCCAGTAATGTATATCAGCATGCCGTTTATATCTAATTTTGTCACTATATTCCCATAACCATTTCATAAACGATGTCAAATTTTGATATTGATATTGAAATCATTTTCTCATTAATTGAAAATCATTTTCAGTATCGATATCAAGAAATTATTGATGATGATGAAGACGACTATTTGATATATCAAAACTGAAAATGTAGATATGATATTCGCTTCATCTCCTTTGCTCCTCGGACCTTTGCTTATATTAGAAAGAGAAGGGGCGACTGTCGTGTCTTAGCTACTTATTTAACACGCTTAGATAGATCTTACAGCCATGAAATTAAAGATTTTTTATAACTTATTTCGGTTTTCAGATACGTTTTGTAATATTGAATTCATGCCTGCTGCCTAATTCAATTGAATAAAGTTAAAACTTTCGTTAATTGCGTGCTTAATTAACTAATTTTATGGATTTACAAAAACAGAAATAATCAAAAGTCAATCGTAAAGGGTGACAAATCGATTTTCAGAATCATTCATTTCTGCATAACAATTAAAAATAGTTTTTATAATAAAAAATTGATTTAAAAATAAACAGATCGATCGCCATCCCTAGAATCTATCTGTCAACTGTCAAGTTTAGAGTTGAAGCTTAGTTGGAAAATATTCAATTTATAGTGGTGTATTTTGATATTTAGCTAACCAAATAACAATAACTAAGAAAATATTCACGAGACAAGAGATTATTTTACTGATTGAAATAATAGGAAAGTAATAATTACCTTTACTACTTAATGTTTTGATTTTTACTCTAATGAATATTCATACGTGATAGTAGTTCAGCATCTTGGATCGTTTGCTTTAACTATGAAATCCAGCAAACGAAGATTACAAGCGCTCACAGAAGGAAGTGATGGAATACCCAATTACCTTAAAATGGAAGATTCTGAAACATCAATTCCTCCAGTGTTTAGGTCGAGACTACATGAACTGTTTTCTCAAATTGAAAAAGAATTTGACCTTCTATATACTGAAAACTTAAACCGTAAGTAAATAATTACACTGTAAATCATAACTATCTCGCTTTAGTCCGTGTATCATTTGAGAATGTAAAATTATATTTACTTAACTAATATATTTTTCTTTATATAATTTATTAGTTCAAGAGAAAATAGACATTCTGAGCGAAAAATTGGAAAGAGAGAGTTATGTGGGCGACAGACAGAACTTAGATTACATTGAGTTTGAAACTTCAGGAAAAAATTCGAAGGTTAAATGTAAGTGGTTTCCATAAGTTATTTGAGTATCTCGGTGATAAATCATAACCATCTTTATAAAACCTCTTTGTTTAGGATAAATTGAGTTGTTATAAATACTTGCCAATATTGTAAAATCGAAGGCAAATAATTATTATAGATAGTCTACTACAATATATTAGTTTAATTAACATTTCCTTTGGGTATATTTTCTATAAAATGAAGTATTTATTCTTTAAATTTCACTTAGTGTTTTATTTTCCAGTGTCTCAAAGTAACTCTCAAAAAGTAAAGGCTAGTCACAAATTAAGAGTCCAAACAAGCAAGATAGTGTCTAGTTTTAAGGCACCAACATACAATTGTCAGCTAGTCAGAGAGTTCACAGGACACAAGGATGGTATATGGGATGTTTCATCAGCTCGACCGGGACAGGCACTTATTGGCACTGCATCAGCTGGTATGATATTATATTGTAGAATGTTATGTTTTTTATGAACTCAGATATTATTAAAACTGGAATTATAATAATATCAAGAACTTTAATGATTAATTAACTATGTTGAAAATTTAGTTCAAGGAATGTAATTACTGAAAATATATTGAGCAAAAATCATATTGATTAATAAATATTACATTGAATCCTTGATGTGGTTTATTAGCAGAGTTTACACAGCGTCAGAATAAACAGAACAAAAGAAAAGATTATTATGGCTAAATGACAGTGTCGAAATTATTTATGGAACTAGGTATAAAAACCTCTGTTATTCCTAGGCTCTAACACTCCTCCTTAATTTTGATTCAGCATATACCATGCATACTCACTGTCATTCAATCACACTCTTAAACCCATTTGACTTGCACACCAGTCAAACTTTCCTTTTGCTAGGGGTTTGGTCAATGCATCAGCAACCATCCGATTGGTTTCAACATATTTAACCACTATTTGGTTATTCTCAACAGCTTCTCTAATTTAGTGGCAGCGAATATCGATATGTTTCGTTCGCTGATGATGCTCTGGGTTTTGTGCAATTGCTATAGCAGATTGGCTATCACTAAATATTGTGATACACTTTTCCTCTTTGCACATAATCTCAGCTATAAATCTCTTTAAGAATATTGCCTCTCTTGCAGACTCTGATAAGGCAACATATTCTGCTTCTGCAGTCGACAAAGCTATGGTGCGTTGTTTGACACTCTGCCAGCAAATAGCTCCTCCTTGAGATGTAAAAACAAAACCCGTCCAAGATTTCCTGTCTAAATCGCCACCATGACTTGCATCAGCATAGCCTTGAAGACTATTAGTCACATCACGATTCCTTGTGTAGTGAATTCCGAAACTCTTTGTGCCCTTCAAGTACCTCAACACCCTTTTAGCAGCTGACCAATGTTCCTCGGCGTAGCAGGTGTTAAACTGACTCAGGGAACTAACTACATTTGTAATATCTGGTCTGGTACAAACCGCCAGGTACATCAATGACCCAATAAGATTCTGATAAGGAATTCTCTCATCTGGCTTGTCCTCTGACTTCCTTAAATGAGTTCCAGGTACTGCAGGTGTTGCAGCCACTTTGCAATCTTCCATACCAAACGTCTTGAAGAGCTTCTCTGTATATTTTTCTTGATCAATTTTAATATGATCCTTATTATTGGTAATTCTCATTCCCAAAACAATATGTGCTGGTCCAAGATCTTTCATTTCGAATTTCGAGGTAAGCTCCCGTTTTACCTTTTGATGCTCCTCCTTGTTATTCCAAAATATCAGCATGTCATCTACGTAAACAGCTAGTATTATGATTCTATTCTCATTGAATCTTGTATAAACGCAAGGTTCATTTTTAGACTGTATAAATTGAAGTTGGTTCAATTCACTATCTAGTTTCTTATTCCATGCACGAGGAGCTTGCTTAAGTCCATACAATGACCGATTTAATTTACATACGTATCCAGCTTTGTCTTTAACTTCAAAGCCCTCAGGTTGTTTCATGTAGACCGTTTCTCTTAAATCTCCATTCAAGAAAGCGGTCTTGACGTCCATTTGGTCAACCTGTAAATTCATCTCACTGGCTAAAGCTAGCAAAGTCCTCAACGAGCTGTTCCTGACCACCAGTGCAAACGTATCCTCATAGTCAAAACCTCTTCTTTGACTGAAGCCACGTGCAACTAGTCGAGCTTTATATCTCACATTATTTCCTCCCTCTTCTTTGATTCTAAATAACCATTTAGAATCAACTATGTTGCACTTTGCCGGTGGTTTCACTAAGGTCCATGTATTATTTTTCTTTAATGCATGCAATTCTTCTTGAATTGCCTTTTTCCATTTATCCCCATCTCTCCGAGACAAAGCTTCCTGAACCGATGTTGGATCCGATTCAGTCCCGGTTGTATGATAAAGGATGTAGTCGGGAAACTCTCTGGCTCTCCTTTCCCTTAATGGATATCTCCTTTCAGCCGTAGACGCTTCTATTTCGTCTTCATCAGCTGAAAAATAATTTCAACATTCGATTCAGTCAGTTGTTGACCAAAATCTTCTCCAGGCATATCCTCTAGCTCCTCCTGATTAAATTCAACAGGTGCTTCATTAGCTGAGGCTCCAATTTGCTCTACATTACTCCCAGTAGTACGAACTTCCTCAATTATTTGATGTTCCTCTAAAAAATCTGAATGTGCATTCGTCGTAGAAGGATCTTCTTGTTGATACATTTGGTTTTCAAAAAATACAACATCTCTCGCTTTAAACACTACACCAGACTTAGGATCTATCAATCTATATGCTTTGGCATTATCCCAAAATCCAACATAGACTAATTCCCTGCTCTTGGCATCAAACTTCGTTCGTTTCTGGTCAGGAATGTGCATAAAAGCTTTGCATCCAAAAACTTTTATATTTTCAAGGTTACTCTTTCTCCCTGTCCAGGCTTCCTCTGGCGTTTTATTTTTAAGAGCAATAGTCAGTTACCGATTTTTCAAGTACACTGCATGATGTACAGCTTCCGCCCAAAATGATTTAGGTAGACCTTGAATCATCGCTCTACTTTTCTCACATATTGTGCGGTTTGCTCGTTCAGCAACACAATTTTGTTCTGGGGTATACTCAATCGTGAGTTGGTGTTGAATTCCATTTCTCTTCAAAAATTCATCCATCCTTCTATTAACAAATTCTGTGCCATTATCCGTTCTTAGTGCCTTTATCTTCTTATTAGTTTGCGTTTCAGCTAGTGCCTTAAACTCTTGAAATTTTTCAAACACCTCATCTTTATGTTTTAAAAAGTAGACAAAAGTTTTTCGAGTAAAATCGTCGATAAAGGTAAGAAAGTAACGGCATTTACCAAAAGAAGGAGCATTAATGGGACCACACACATCCGAGTGTATGAGACCAAGTACCTCCGTAGCTCTCATACCACGTGTACTCTTTTACGGAAATGGTTGTTTTGTTTGTTTTCCCTTCAAGCAAGATACACATTCGAGTTTAGAATTTGTGTTAGGAAAACTTACCCCTGTTGCTAATTTATTTCTAAGTAGTAGTAGATTACGTTTACCAAGATGACCCATTCTCCGATGCCACAGGTCTATCAGTGAATCCTTTTCAGTCGCTGATGCAAGAGCTGATCCCTGTAAACAGCACTGTTTTAATTTATATACGCCTCTTTCTACTACACCTTTCAGAAATACTCGACCTGAAATCACACATTCATTACTCTTAAAAATCTCACACCTTTCGTTTCCAAATACTGCTATGTAACCTTTTTTCGCAATAGTACTTACGCTCAATAAGTTAGTTGATAACTTAGGAACATACATAGCATTAGTAACTGACATTCCTCCTAATGAATTGCATACTACCGTACCTTCTCCTTCTCCATACACTTTTGTATTGTTAGCACAAGTCACTGTTATAGGGTCTATACTCTTATAGTCCTTATACCACTCTCTCTTGTTAGTCATATGTGACGACGCTCCTGAATCGAGAACCCAATCCTCGTTTCCGGAATCTCCAGCTGTAGCTAGTGCTAAAGTGTGTAACACTTCCTTTTGCTTCTTTGGATTGTTAGGACATTCGATCGCTTTATGTGCAGCACCACAAATAAAACATTGAAGCTTCTTAGCTTTTGGCTTCTTCTTGCCTTTTTGTTTTGATAAAAGTGCAGAAGTCACAGAAATATTCATGTCTCGTTCTTTGGAAGTAGAAGCGGCAAACGTATCTTCCATTTGAAAAAGCTTGGTCTTCACATAGTCGGTAGTAAGCTGAATGTTACTGTTCTCTATAGCTAATCTCATTGGTTGAAATTCTTGTGTAAGACCTTGAAGAATCAAAGCAGCTAATAGCTCATCATCGATCTCTTTTCCAAGATCTGACAGCTCCTGAGACGTTGTCATTACTGCAGTGACATATTCTCGAACAGTTGAAAAACGCTCTAGTTTGTAACCTACTAGTCTTGATAGCAGCCTGCAGCGATTATTTAGGCCCTTATCCTCAAAAGCATCTCTTAATGATTCCCATGTTTGTTTAGCTGTCGAGGCCTTTTTGACATGAATTAAACAATGAGGCTTTATCATCAAGCAAATCTTGGCCCTAGTCCGCTGATCTCTCTTTGTACCTTGTACGTCACTTATGGCTGGAGTCTCTCTCGTATACTCCCATAAGTCTGCATCGATTAGGTACATTTCCATTTGGAACTTCCACGTAGAATAGTTTGAATTACCGTCAAGCTTCTCTATAACGGGTGTACTACTCATAGTTCCAAAATACGAATCACTCTTATAACTCGAATCACCTCTATCAGCGACTGTACTCATACTATCGCTATTCTCTCTAGACATTCTTCAGCGTGGTGGATTTTTACGCCCATAACCCTGATGTGGTTTATTAGCAGAGTTTACACAGCGTCAGAATAAACAGAACAAAAGAAAAGATTATTATGGCTAAATGACAGTGTCGAAATTATTTATGGAACTAGGTATAAAAACCTCTGTTATTCCTAGGCTCTAACAATCCTTCTACAGATTGAGTATGTCAACAATCCACCTATACAGGTGGATTGTTGAACTATAAAAAAATATGTCTAACCTAAAGTCTTGTCTTTATTATGCTTATTGAGCATATGCACCATGCCATACCAGTGAAATTACACTCAATGGGAACTCACTAATTTTTATGCAAGAAAGCAGTACCAATCTTTTTAAAGGACTTTGGGCTTCCTGGAGGTGCTAGGGTGGCATCTTTCATGCAAAATAGGCACTAGGTGTTGAGTTGCAGAAAAGCCCACCATATAACATAACATAACACAGTTCCAATTTTTGATCGAAAACCTGTTATTATTATAATATAAAAACAATTTTTTTTTTCATTTTAAAATTGACACTATTAACTATATTTTGTAAACTTTAATATTGATTAAGTTACACAGAATTAGTTGTTATGTGGCAACAGCCATTACTATTCATATCATTTCTTTCTAAAATGTTTTAATTCGTACTCAAAATACTTAAAAAATTTCATACTTATTATAATATCAGACTGATTATTCTCTTTTTCAGACCACACAGCCTGTGTATGGAGTGTGGATTGGGGCAAGTGCCTTCTGCAATATACTGGTCATCAAGGATCTGTGAATTCAATCCGTTTTCACCCATCTCGAGATATTGCTCTCACCAGTAGTGGTGATAACAGTGCCCATGTTTGGCAGGCTGCTGTTAACTGGGATTTACCTGTATGTTCAATATATAAATAAAATCTTTTTCTTACTGCAGAATTTGCAAATGCAGTGTATTCTTGCTAATCATTAATTGATACATTGCACAATGTAATATGTGTAATGGATTAAAACTTACTGCATATAATAATTAAAAAAGACTAAAGTAAGCACTGGATTTAATAATGTTTGCCTTCCAAAGCAAATCAACAGTGACAGAAAGAGAAAATTCAAGTTGAGACACATTGGCTTATTTTGGTCAAATAATGGTTTAAACCTGGTACTAAATTTGGTCCTTGTTTTATCATAGGATGACACAGGATAGGTCAGAGAAGGATTTTATAACAGAGAACAGAACTATGTTAGACATAGACAGAAAATAATCAGATACTTCTGTTGCTGATGCAATAGGGATGATGACTAATTTTTGTTTGTTTGTCCGTCAGGTAGAGTGTTAAAAAATATTAAACACGTATTTTTTTCGTAATCATAAAATAACGGCGTTACATTGAGTTCAAAATTTCTCATGACGTCACATTAGAGTATGTTTTCTACTCAACTGTGACATAACGAGCCCCCACTCCTCAACTTTAATGCCTGTTATCTAAGCTATTTCTTGTTAAATTGAAGTAAAAAAAATACGTATCTAATATTTTTCTATAATCTGACTGACGGACTAAATAGAATTGCATTTTTTTTACCCAGTCATCATCCCTATTGTATCAAATCAAAATTATTTATTCAGTCTAGGCTGTTACAAGCACTTGTGAAAGTCGAGAGCTACGCCATCGACGTACTTTCAGCGTACGTACGACGAACTTTAAATAAATGTACTTTCAGCGTGGACAGTCTTCTGAAGAAGAATTGGAAGGTGGTGGCGAGGAGAGCTTAGGCGAAGGTGGTGAACGACCAGAAGTGTTACGTACACCTCTGACTGAACTACTGGGACATCAGGGCGTAGTCGTGGCAGCCGACTGGCTCACCGGAGGTGATCATGTCATCACCGCATCTTGGGATAGAACCGCTAATTTGTATGATGTTGAGACTGGTGACTGTCTGCAGGTTCTCACAGGTTAGCTTATATTCATATCACTGAATCTATAAATTAGTAAAATCATTTTAGATACTATATCTCAACAATGGCGTGATCGTTTTATATCTTAATATAATTAATATTTAATATTTATTTTAAAAAATGAAGAGGTCAATATTGGGATTTTTCTTTTTGCGTGATAACGTTTTGCCCAAATCTGTTGGAAAGAATGCTACTTTAACTTTATTATTAATAAACATTAATAAATTTAATTTTTTCAAAATTTTACCTCTGTGCCTTCAACTTGACCTCTCAGAGATTAGCTGCTTTATTTATCCAGTTTCCTCAGAAACAATTTGAATTTCTCCTCTGATCTTTTGAGCAAATATGATGGTGTAGTAGGAACCATCATACCGGTCTCCTCTGCTAAGAAAGAACTCAAAAAGCTCACGGTGAAGTTTCCATCTGCTTCAGAAGACATCAAGAATATACTGTTGGGTGACTAACTTTAAGACAAAATCAGATGACCTCCTCCAATAAGTGCCCATAGAGCAGATACCATTGATTTAAAGCAGAAGGCTTATAAGGGGAAACATGGAAATACAAAAAATACCACTATTGCACACTCACATTGAAGAGAATCATGTGTGCAACTTTATTAGGGATAACGGTGGGGCCGCTCGTATATTTCCTTTGCGATTTAGAATGGATCATAAAGTGCAAATCGAACAACGCAACAGCACCAAAAATAGGTTATCAACCCGGATTATATCAGCATAAACAAAAGCCGAGTTTTCACACTCGGCTGGAAAGCCACAAACGAAAATCCCTCGGTGATCGAGGAAAGAAGGGTTCCGAAAAAGTTGTCAACGTCAGCAGCGTCGAAAATATTGACGGCAAATTCAAAGAATTTTACGAAAAGATTACAAAACTCCTTACTGATGGCATCCTACCTTTTGTCATTCGTAATCGAGAAATGTTCTGCGAAAACGAGTTTTCTCTCCAAGATCTTCTTAATTCCAAAACCAAATGGGAAAGTACGCCAAATATTCGACCTCAGACAGCTAAAATTTTACTTAGATTCAAACTAGTTTCGGCTTATGAACCAGAGTTATGTCCCCAAGTTTCTGCAGAGAGACGACTTCATGCGAAAAATAGACTTTGTCGGGTACTAAATCAAGAAAAGTCAATCACAAAACCGTCACAAAAAAATAGAATACCTGGGTATAATTTGGAATACCACCAAACAAAAAAAATCTATGCAAAAATGCGTGCGCGTATTAAAAGATTTAAAAGCGTTGGTAAATAGTCGTCACATACAAACGGGACGTCCATATTGGGAAAACTCGGTTTTGCATCGTTAATAGGCCGACTATTCACCCGACGCATTCAGAGGGCAAGTCGGGTTCTACAAGAAGACTTCCCACAACTAACGTCGGAAGATACAATGGAAGATTTACTTTGGTGGATAGAAAATCTTACTAAGTTAGGGATGATTTTTGTTCTCGATCCAAAAATTATCGCTTCAGATACGTCTAACGTAGTTCTTTATGCTCGCAGTTCTTTATGCACTGCGACGAATTTATGAATATTTTTCAGAATATCATTGTGAATGCAAAATTGATCAAATATAGACTGCATAGAAGATATTGAGTAAATAATTCTTACCAGCAAAGGTGAATTCTGTTTGAGTTTACCCATTTTTGAATCTTGAATGTTTTGAGAAAAACATTAAAAACTGTCACATAATCATATAACAGAAAGATGAGTTTATTGAAATGTGACGTCACACGCTGCTCCGTCACGGCCGCATTTTCGTTCTTGTATTCCAAATAATCATTGTTGTATCAAACGAAATGTTCGTTGTCGTTGTTTTAGGTCACGATCATGAGTTGACACATGCGTCTGCTCACCACAGCTCTAGACTTGTGGTGACCGCGTCCAGGGATACCACATTCCGTCTGTGGGACTTCCGCGAACCGATACACTCGGTATCTGTATTCCAAGGGCACACAGAGTAAGTGCCGTCATATTTTTATATAATTATAAGCTGTTTTCCCGTGACTTTGCGTATTTAGCGTATGATGTAATTTCCCGTTGATGAAAGAATTTTCATGATTGGATTAGTATTTTTGAAGATTACCCTCTACAAATAAACAAAATTAGAACGTCGTTAAACCTCTTTATAATATTATAAAGGTGGTGACTAATGTTTGAGACAACTTATTTGTACCCCTTTTTTACGAAAATTGAAAAGAAAGTAACTAAAAAGTTAATGTCCTCATTTGTTTAACGTCTGTTTGATGTATTGTTTGTTATTTCACAGGAGTGTTACTTCAGCGGTATTCACACGTGAAGACAAAGTCGTATCGGGCTCGGACGATCGTTCAGTAAAGGTAATGATGAGAAAAAGTTACTAAAACATTTGCTATTTTTTTAATATAAAAATTTATACTAATGATTTATAAATATAGAAAAAATGTGTTTTTACTATAGGTACGTTTATAAATTAAAAGTTTACACTATACAATTACACAACCTCCGTTGCCGAGTGGTTCGCACAACGATTTCAAGGTATCGTTATCTCTGAAGCCCCGGGTTCAAATATCGCAATCTCTTAGGACCCGGGTTCAAGGTGTCGCCATCTCTGAGACTGCGGGTTCGGTTCCCGGTCGGGTCAAAATTAGAAAATTTACTTTTCTATATTGTCTTGGGTCTGGGTGTTCTGGAACAGAACAGTGTTTCAGATATTCCATAATACGGGGTCTTTAGCTACTCATCTTGGAATCTGAGCAATGTATTGATGTTTGTTTAATATTTATTTATATTACGATAGTGAATACAACATCCTGAAATAGTTTCATCAAAATTCACAATTTTATTTAATTTGGTGATATAGTATTCTTTTTTATTAAAATTATCTGCGTCACTTTAAAAAAAATTCATTAAGTTATTGTTTTTTTAACCTCATTTTATTTTTACTTTTTAAAGTCGGCATTATATTGTAGAAAAAAATTGCTTGAAAATTTTTGTTCTAGCTTTATTATTTATCCTATAAAAAGTATAAAACATCTTTTGTAGAAAAAAAAAATTTTAACTGTTTTTCTATAAGATAAAAACAAACTAAATTATTCGATACAATACATTGCTAAAAAAAGTTCGAAACTTGTCTTTATTTGTATCAAGTTAAGTGTTATAAGTTTTTCAAACCATAATTTCAACCATTAAAGTTGTATGTACAAAACAACAATCAAAGTTAAATAGCATTTCTCCAAAAGAAAGTAAAATAGAAATCATTCATTTATTCGCATTACAAAATGAGCACATAAATAAAAATTATAAGGTAACAATAAAAGAAAAATCACAAATAACGCAGCGATGCAAAAAGATAGAAGCTCAGTGATTCCTCTGTTTAGGGTTAACGTCGATTATCAGTATTTACCCATAGATGTATTTCATAGGTTTGGGACGTCCGCAACATGAGATCGGCTCTTGCTACCATCAGATCTGATTCGTCCGTGAACCGAGTGGGTGTGAGCGGGGGCGGTCTGATAGCTATCCCGCATGATAACAGACAAGTTCGACTGTTTGATCTCCAGGGACAGAGGCTCGCTCGCTTACCACGCTCCAGTAGGCAGGTGGGTTTATAATAACAAAGATATTGGTGACGATCCCGTTATCTGTGGTTCCTAGACTTTTATAATTGGCTGCTTGACAGAGATAACAATCAATTATAAAATATTAAAAAAAAAAAATTTATATGTAAACAATAATTACTTAGTGTTTTTTGTTTTACATTGTAATTATATTTTATTTTTGCAAAATTAACCTGCGGTTTACAATTTGTAGATTACAAAAACCGAAACGGCGGTCATGACGGAGCATCATGTGACGTCACAATTCAATAAACCAAACGTCGACATCTTTGTTGGGAGTGCAACCAGTACTCATGTTTATTGAAATGTGACGTACAGCTGGAAACGATTGTTTTCTTTGACAATTTAAATGAAAGAATAAAAATATGTTTTTTTTTTTTTCAATATTTAATAACATATTTTGATATGAAACTTAAGATACTGTTCTCAAAACAGTCAAGTAGCCAATTGGTATGCCTATGGCCTATTAGGAAAAATGTTTCTTTTAAGTGTCATTCTTTTGTCTTTTAAATTAAACTTTGCAATTTCAAGACTCTCTAAAAAGTCGCAACATACAAAAAAAAAGGTATTTTTACACAAAATTAATTATAATATCGGAAGGTTCCCATTAAAACAGTACATCATTTAGATTCATAGAGAGCCGATCGATTTACTATAATCAGTTTTTATATTGTCCCAAGAGTCTAACTCACTAATCGTTAAATCCGAAAATTTTATTTGTAACAGGGTCATCGTCGTATGGTGACATCAGTGGCTTGGGCGGAAGACATATCATCGAATATAAACTTCTTTAGCTGTGGCTTCGACCGTCGTATCCTAGGCTGGTCCATCCAACCGTCCAAGGAGAATTGAGCCTTATCAAAAAGAAAATAAGGCATACTTCTTTAGTCACTGTACAGGTATTCTATTAATATTCGGTTATTTATTGTATAATATATAAAAAAAAACTTGTCTGGCACACCTTTAATTGTACTGAAATCAAAGTTCAATAAATAGGTAAATATTTTGAAGTCATGTTTTAAAAATATTTTACTTATATAGAATTGTAATCAGTGCGCAAATTTTAATTGTTTGTTACTGTAAATATTATATTTACGTTCAGAAACATAGAAGAAAAATGATGTCTATAAACAAATTACTATTTATGATATTTCTATTTTATATTAAAAAAGAGGACAAAAATTGTGGACTGAATAAAAACTTACTTTGCATAACCACAGATTGTGATCAAATATTTATGACAGCTCAATCGAAATTGAACGCTTCCGATATTTCTAATGGCAACATTATCTACGTAAATACACACATCAGATTATTTAAGAATGGCGAACTCCCATATCATATTGGACCTGAATTTTAAAGACCCGTTCATGAATGAAATAAAGGTATAAGTTAAACTAACAAAATCCTAATCATCTTTTTCCTTAAAAAGTTGGGGTTAAAAAGATATGGGTATAAAATAATTGTGAGGTTATATATTGTATCTTTGCTTTTTCGTTGAATGGACATTAAAATAAATAAAAATGGTAACCAGGTTACTCCGTTAAATATACTAGATTAAAATAATTACATGCCTAACAAGATCCAGACATTAATAATAAAAGAAACATTTATAACATATAACTAGACTGTATGGACTAGATCCTTTCGCCTTTAATGAAATTATTACTACTGAAAGTGACAAATAAGGGCAGTGTACAAATCAAACTGTCATTGTTATAACCGAATCGCTTGCTAATCGTAATCCAAAAGTAATGCAAATATCAACGTTGAGGCAAAGATCGTTAGTCCAAGAAACACGCTTAATAATAACATAAATATTAAACTTTACGAACGAACATACAACAAACAAACCAAACCAATCATCTACCAATCATAGATGAATATATATGTGACGTTCCTTCGCTCAGTCTGTACGCATTATTACATCACATCTCACTTATTATTAGCAGTAAATGATGACTGATAATATTCTATAGAACATGTTTGAAAAACTCGCGATTAATTGAGACTCGCTTTTATTTATATTGATGTGAATATTAAATATATGTTGATGTATGTGATTGATTTTTCAAAAACTAATCAAACTACAACCCTTTGACATATTGTGTGCTTTTTAATCAAAGGCAAGAGAGTCCATTCTATACAGTCATAATTTGAACTTATATTCGATTATTAAGCGTATTAATGCTATTTTAAAGGCAATAGAATTAATTGAAATGTACAGGAAACGATAAAATCCATTCAAAATAAATGACCCTTTCATTGCCCTGTGCAAATTTCATAAAACACTTCCAAAATATTTCTGCATAGACCAGAACATTTCTTAAGAAGATGTTCGCGTTTTATTTTTGCAGTATCATCAGACGTTTTGTTATCTTGATAATTATGTGCAGCAATAAATATTTTAAATGTCGGGGTCATTAAAATTTACCATTTTGTAGAAATAAAATCTATTAATCATATATTATTTATTTGACATATTGCCATTTGAGTACGGTTTTGGAAATAATGGGGTTTGATTTCGCCATTCTTCTTTGGAAATAGATTTTCACCTTAATTGTCGACAGATAAGGCTTCAAATTGAATGAAGAAATTTGACGTTTTGCAGCACCTTGCAGTTCTGAAACGCTATTCTGTTAAAAGTACAGCGTCAAACGCAAGTTTTAATGAAATAAAACCTTTATTATTTTTTAAGGTTTAATTTCATTGCACCTTTAATGCAAACACTGTTGTCTTATGAGGGGGGAGGGGGGGTAACATCATCCCTTATAAAAAGAGGAAGGAGGAGGAAGGGAAGAGGGGGAGAATCATCTCAGGTGCTATGAAATTGTCACCCATACATTCACGTGCGTGCGTACCCAAATAGAGTGCGTGGAGTCTCCCCTATATTTACGTCGGCAGTATTTATGCGACAGATTCATCTCATTCACTTATTCCAAAATTGCTCGCTTTGTCTGAGACTTACAGTTCAGAAACAGATTCTCAAAAACTTCCATGTATATTGGTTAGCTTCAATAAGTATTTATAGGCCCACGATTACGAAGTGATAATTCTCTTTATCAATTTAATTTCGATGCCCTTATGTTTTAACCTGATATTCAACTTTAAGTGCTTATGATTTTACCGAGTTGCTTCATCGTAACTAACACGGTTGGACTACTATGTATAACTAGCACGGTTGGACAACTACGAGTATGTACGCTCGTTGCCCGCTGCCCTCTCCGCTGCCATCTAGAACGGTTCATACAAATTCTATACAAAGTATCAAGTCGCGTTGCACCGCGGTCGCCACCGTCCAGTTTGCGATGTAACACTCAATCAAACGCGAATGCGAACAGGGTTGTCACCTTTTAAGAAACAAAATTCGTGATATTCGGATAGTCATCAGAAATCAGGACGGATGTTAACTCTGAATACGAAATATGTGCGTTTGTGTAAAACGACCTTTTTCTCAGTTGCTAGTACGCTGCGTAAGATCTCATGGTTAGGCTTCTGTATTTGTAACGGAATAGCGAAGAAAATTCGACTGCACTCCTACTACCAGGAGAGCGAGCGCCTATCTTGCTATAACTCTAGCCATAGCTATAAGAACGTTCTATTAATTCTATCCATGAATATGTTAATATTCTAACACAATATTCTTGATTTATTGTTTGCATATTTAATCAATACTTTTGGTTGTTTTAATTTATTAAATTATTATAGTAAATTTTTAAAATTTCGAAAGAATATCAACAGATTCATTGATAAAAATAATAAAATGTTTTTATAGCTATGGCTAGAATCATAGCTGCAGTAGTGTATTCCATTTACATTAAAAAAATTTAAACGCATTTCGATTGATGGAGCTATTGTTAAATGACAAAGTATTTTTCTTATTATGAAGAATCATTCAATCAATATACGGCAAGTTGCACAAACGTCCATTAAGGTTTAATGACGCCTTTAAGCTCTAATGAATGTCAAAATTGTATGGGTAATGTCGCTTTAACTGAATGACAATTTTAATGGACGTTTGTGCAACTGGCTTATAGTCTATTGTAATTATGATGGTTGCGTTAATGTTAACCCTAATTTAGAGTGCACAAAAATATATTGTTGATTTGTTATCAAATAATAATACTTATAAGTAAATTAAGTGACACGTATCGAAAAGAACTAATATCAACTAGAATAATAAACAAAAATGTTATATAAGTTGAACCTTAATTACCTACTGTTTTACATTAGATTTTACGTGTGATGATCAAAAATGATCTTTGTAACAATCGAACATATAAACAATTGTTCTTTGTATGTAAAGTGGGGAACGATAAATCTCAACTTCTTTTTCTCTCGGTGTATGTTACTGTAATTGTGTAATGTTATATTTTACTTGTTTATTAGTTATTAGGTTCGGTTGTTCGTTAAATGAATATATGTATTTAAATTAAGCGGGTTGTTTGGTTATGTATTTATAATTTAGTTGTATATTCGGAACGGTGGTTTTCGGTTTGCTAATATTTAAATGTGATTGTGTCAGTAATATTACCATTAATGTTATTGTCTAGTTCATACTACAAAGAGGTCGGTCAAGTATCGTATTACAAGAGTATGAATAGGGAGGGGTTGTTTTGCTTAATTTTGATGGCATAAAGGCCTGAAATTCTGGTTTAATTTAGTAGCTTCTAATTCGAATATCTCAACGATTATGTAGGCATAGAGATCGGTGGTTGTTTTACAGTTAAATACACTGTGCGCTTGCGCAAAAGTTAAATTTCGGAGCGCGGCAACTGTTGGTCGACCAGAAAAATGATGATGTCTGGTTAATAATGAAGAATGAATGATAAAGAACGATGAATGTGGATTTGACAGCAATGTTTTTAACTTGGTAATTTATCCCAAATTTATCCACCAAAGCCACGTCAAAGTAGTAAAATGAAACGAAATGTCGTCTTAGTATACACTAAAATGTCGTATCCTGCGGCTTGAGTTAGGCGATCGCATCCCAGGATGTGCAGTCTCGACATTGATAGCTCATTTACCTAACTATCAAATTTGATCGCTAGAAAACTAACCATTATTCGTTAGTTTAACGATTATTCGATAACTCTACAGTTGCACTTGAAAAAAGTTGTAACAGTAATCGTTTAAATCGATCTCTATGAGTTCACGTCCAAATTTAAATAGCGTTTTAAATTGCTCTCGCAAACTGTCGAGACAACATACTCTTTACTTACACGTACAGGATTTCTGTTTATATTTTAATGTTATATAAAAAAATAATAATCGAGATTTATATTGATGTGAATATTAAATGTATGTAAATTGTCATTGGTATAAGTGTTTCATTAATCATTTGATGATAACTTATTTTGAGGTAGGTACACCAGTGTAAAACAATAATGTTCTACCTAGTCAACTTGAACAATCATCCTAAGCCAAAGATACTACTTTCACACTCCAAATGTCAAGTAATATACAATTCTGTCACATTTTGAGTAAAATTAGTGTAAAAAACATGAGATAGTCGCTAAATCACTTCTGCGTATGATTAATATTGTTTATTTAATAAAAATATTATGTTCTAAATATTGTTTATTGTTAGTACTACTGTGATTGTTTATTATCCGAGAAAATTTAAAACTCGAATATTCAGGACATCGATCAATTAATACTCGAAAATGTTCTCTATACCTAATTGTCCAACAAATACTTTATTATTTGTGTTAACCCAGCACCGGATTTTGGGGTAGGGGGTCATTCGGCCAGTATTAGGGGCGCACCAACAACATACCTACAGTAAGAAAAAATGGAAAAATAATATGAACATATAAATTAAAATCTAACCTCCTGAGTAGGGTAGAAGGGCGCAGTATTAAATTTCTTGACCCAGTTTTAATTGAGAATAAGTCGTAAGACTCGTACCTGCGTAAACTTACATAGGTACGTTACGTACACTTTACGGCTCAGTTACACTGATTCATGAGGTCAACATGTGGAGCGTGAACAACCCCGCGGGCTCATCGCATTAGTCAATAAAATAACCTATTAATGTAAGCGAGGAACAGAAATCATCCGCACGCCGTAAACGAATGTTATCGAACAGAGTAATTAAGT